GCTAAAGTTGTCAAATGTTGTCTAAACATTCAATTCCCAGCCCTAAACATGATCCAGTTCTATAAATACAGTTTTTGGAAAAGAAAAAGGGGGAATAACAGACCTTTTCCATCATCTCCTTTTCTTTCCTCTCCCCTTCCTCCATCAGCTGCTTCTCTTCCTCCTCCATTTCCTTAGTGATGAGCACTTCAGACTTCATATTCTCAGATTTCACACTGACATCTTCAAAGAAACAACAGTGATAGTCAAGCTGGGTCATCCCTACATCCGTACATTCATTCGTTTTTGCTAACAGAAACAGTTTCATAGCTTTTTTTAAAGTTGATCTGCCTTAATTAGATAGCTCCATTATCTCAACCTTAAATGACATGAAAGCAACGTTTCATTAATCAAACGCGGATTAGCTCAGAAATCCCCCAGTGAGTGAGTCTGGGGCCACAGATTGGGCTCCTGTGTGACTGACCCTCTGCAGCTCCAGTCTCCATGGCTGTGCCCAGCGGCTCCTCAGATTCATCCGGTTTGGGGCAGTGAGGGGACGCACTCCGAGTCTCTTCCTTTGCGCTGTCAACGGAAGGAAGAACATAAATCAACTGGGGGGGAGAGAGGAGAGAGACTGTGGCTTCAAGAGAGCCAGGTCTAACTACATTCACATGTTCAAACCCTTTTTGTGTAGCACTCCGTTAGCAAACACGACCTGTACAGCCTGTATGTAACACACGGTGGGTATTTAACATCCAACGTTATAGACACAGTACATTAAAGCTGCAGTAGGTGACTTTTAGAAATTATTTTGCCATAAGTGTAGAGACTTTCACTACAACAGGAGTTAGATCATCTGTGACACAATCTGCCAGAGGACCCTGACTGACTGTTCTACTGTATATAGCAGATCTAGTGAAAGATCCAGCTAATGGAACACAACGTTACCTACTGCAGCTTTAACTATGACAACTTTCAGTGTCAACAAATACATTCCTGTAATAATGACATATACACATGGAAATCAGCCCATTAACCCATCAGACATATCCTCAGTGGTCTCTTCTGGAGCAGATGGGTAAATACTCAAGAGTCCCAGCACGTTGTTACAAAGACATACTTTATATCTCAAGGAAATTAAAGACAATATTATTTAACTTACCAGCTCATTGTTGCCAAAAACGAAGCAGACGACAGGGCTAACGTGGCTAATTCCAGATTTTAAAGTTAACCAGAAAAAGGGATTTTTTTCTCGACAAAGCAGTGTCAACTTTTCTGCGAGTTACACAAGCAGGTTCCTGGCGACGAGTCAGAGCTAACCGACCGACCGAGCTAGCTAGCGGCTATAATGGCGTTTCCGGCTGTGCAGGACCGCGGATATAGGAATAAATTCCGAAAATATTGCTCATCTAAAACTGTGCAAATATGTATAAAATGACTAGTTTGAAGTCCACGTTGATCCTCTGCAGTGAACACAGTGTGTGTCCTACAACAAGGTAAGCTCCTAGAAACAAGCAACGTATGTCCACACGGTACCTTTCAAAGTAAAACGTCTTCCCCGAACGTTACGCGGGAGAGCTGGCTTGAGAGGTTGGGGTTGTGTTTTATTGTGAAGCCAATATCACTTTACATCCGCCATTTTCGGCTAACTTGGGTATGGGTTTTACTATGGGCGGGGCTAGTCATTTCGCGCCAGTTAGGTCGACGAAAGTAGCGCTTTTACAGCAGGGGGATGTGTGATTGTAGTGTAGATACTGCAGTATTTCAGGAGTAAATACGAACATCAGAATAAATATATCAAGTGGATATCATGTAGAATAAAAAGTTTACAAAAATATTGATAAACTATAGAGCGTATTTTGTACAGAGAAAACCATTTAATAACGCGGGCACCCCTCTCAGTGGAATAATGTGCCACACCTCATCTGATATTTCCCGCGAATGTAGGTTGCTGGTAAATATTTATGGGATTAATAAAATCATCATATTCCACAGTAGTTCAAGTTTTTGTTGTTTATATATTTATTTTCTATGGTTTTGAAAATAGCTGCAATCAATGATTTTACAAATAACTGACAAACTACTCTTTGTTTGTATAACCTGCATGTTGATCTCAGGCAGTCAGCAGGATTTTTATAATTAATAAGCAAATGCATGCATCAGTACAACTTAATACATGTGATGCCTATAAATGTGCATGCATGGTCCAGACTAACTAAATCCAGGCAGGAGATCTGCGACAACCAAGAGGAACTGCTGGAGGAAGTATTCAAATCCATTAAAAGTTCTGACTGAATGTAACGTAAACTGCCCTACAAGTATAACTCCTCTATTTCAACCTTCAGTTAAGGATCCAGTGTGTAGGATGTAGCTCACTTGCTTCACCCTCCCCTCTTTGCACCCTTGCCTTTGTACAGTTTATGTCTGTGGTTTCCCTGCTGTCTTTGGGTGGGTGCTTGCACATGCACTGAACTGCACATTGAGTTTACCAAATAGTGCTCTATAAAAACAAATTGCTTTGCTCACACACTTAACAAAAGTGTCACACTAAATTACTGGAATACGCCTTTAACCCCATCATCTACAAATCCAAGTAAACCGATACTCTATATGTTCTCATAATGACCACTGTACTGTAGTTCCCAGTTCTCCACTCTGAGCTGATGGTGCTGTTGCAGTTTCTGTTTGTTGCCAGCAGAGGTCCATAAAGGTCACAGATAAAATCTTCACCAATGATGTACTGTAATCAGACCACATACTGTAAAACAGGTAAAAGAATGACTTCTAGTTATCACAGGTTTATCTTTCCATGTACAATGTAACCAATGATACTTGGTGAATCATATTCCTCTGTGGAGGCCATTTCCGCCAGTGTGAGAAAAAGGCATTCTGTAAACCATTATAATGAGAAACTCAAAATAAACTCAAAATAACTTCATTTTGAGATACTAAGTCACACTATTGAGAAAGTTTCTCATTATTTTCACATACTAAGTCATTATTTTGAGAAAGTTTCTCATTATAATGACTTACAGAATATTTTTTCCCCTGTCACATTGGCGGAAATTAGTTTCCATATTCCTTTTTCCCACCCGCAGTCATTTTCCTTGTTTATTTCTTCTCCTTTTGCTTTCTGGATATCTCTTTTTTCTGCCTTTCCTCTATCCCTTCCTCCCATCTTCTTCTTTCATTTTCTTCATTCTATTCGTTGTCCTCCCTTGTTTTCTTCTCTTTGTCCTCTCATCTTTCTGACTTTTTTTTCTTCATATTTTTCTTACATCTTTCCTTTCTTTCCCACTTGTACTTATCTACCTTTTGTTTGTTTTTGTGATTTATGCAATATAGATTATATAACACACTCAGTATAATTAAAGATATGTATTAAAGTATTATTAAAAGATCCCCTCCAGACATGTATTAAGACATGTTAGTCTGCTTGGAACAATAATGTGTGTCTGATATGTTTTTTCTACAAAAAAAGTATATTTTTTACGCACACCTTAACAAGGCAAAATTCCAGAATCTCTGAATATGCGAATGTTGTCTATTTCTGAAGTTTTCCTGCTGGACACAAGATGTCTCCTCCTTCACTGTAAAGTCCATTCTCAGTGGATGTGCGCTGGTGGTTTCAAGTTTCTACATCACACTGTACAAGTTGATACTGGACCAGGATGACTTCTTAACTATTTGTGATGTCACAAATCATGTTCATAGACCCCGCCCCTTAAAATCTGATTTTCATTGAGCACAGAGAAACTTTCCACTCTTTCCAGACTTTCCAAACTCTGCACAGACAGCATTTAAACATCATACTGTAGTGACAGGAAGAATCACTGATTTCTGACTGAAGGGGGACCAGTGCTTCTCAACCTGGGGGTCAGGAACTCCACTAGGCGTTGCCAAAGCTTCACAAGGGGTCATAAGGCCTTTTTGATAATGAGTGGTGTATGAAATCTATAAAAATATACACAGTAGGCATATCTCAGTATTTCGCTCATTTCCGTGAAGGAAACTAAATGAGATTTTTATTATTAAAGTTCAGATTATTGTTTATGATTTTAACATTGAAGACCTGAGCCAACACTTTCTGATAAACAGCCTCGTCCTGCATTAGAAAAGATCAAATAGCTAATAGAACAATGAGAAGAAAACACTGAATTTGTAAAAAAAAACAAAAAAACAAAAAGCCTATATAGCCTGTATGATTGTTAAAAATTATTTAAAAAATGATACATAATACAGATAGAATCGTATGAAAAGTTCCCTAATATGGAAATAATAAACTCAAACTTTATCCAAATCACTGCTATTAAATAAACTTACACCTGCTACTGAGTTCACTGTTTGGGTTGATTGTACAGTTTTGAATATAATATGAAATATCCATAAAATGTCACTGAAACAGGGTCGTCAGTTTACTAAATTATAAAAAAGGGTTCCTTAAAGAAAGACCCACTGAAATAACCACTGCTGTAAATCATACTTCTGCCTCAGATATTGTTTAGCAAGAAGTAATTATCTAAATATGCTTCTGACAAACACAATTTCTAGCATAAATTATACTTCCCATTTAACTACAATGTACATTCCAAATGCAGGAGTAACTGTTCAATAACGTCTCAGGTTTAAACACTGGATGAACACTTGTTTGAAAGCTTCCTGGGAAGTCTTTCTGGTCAGCGTTTCTGTTTGGTGACGTGTTCTATGCAACATTTAAGAAGTCGTGTTTTAGAGAAGTGCTGGCTCAGATGCTTCCTCTCTCCTGATGTTAACTGAACCTCCAGTCAGTTACCATCAGGCTACAACTCTGTGGAATTTCCTGTGAAATGTGCTGACTTGTGTTTAGCACAAACTGGGCCACACTCTAGCAGTTTAGGATTTAGGTTAACTGGCTAATGAGTGGCTTATATTTTCACACACACACCTCTGGCCATTGTGTTGTGACCTGACCTTCATATATAGCTGCACAATGGAGCACTGTTCTAACATTCTTATCCATACAGCAAACACTGGTCCCAGAGTTCCTTTCAAACTGAATTCAGTTGCCTTTATTATGAAAACAAGAGAACATTGTATTTTATATATGCAATTCTGTACTAAGATTACACAGCAATTTGCAAACAGACCCTATTTAACTGGCAGTAGATATGCCAAATGAATGTAGAATAAATAATTCCAACAGGTTTTCTACACATCTCACCAAGAATCGCAGACAGGTCCTCCCATTTTATACAGTCTGGTAGTACAATATTTATTTTAAGTTGAAGTGTTACATGTTGAGCAACAAACTTACAGTTGTCTTCAGCCACAAATTTAATGCAGAGATAAAGAGTCAAGACTATCCCAATAACGTATTGAACACTACAGAACTGGCAAATCAGATTTGACATAATATATACATAATGTTTATGTACATATACATTTGCACTAGACTTTAGATGCTGGACTGTGAGACACTGCTGTGCAGAGGCTGGAGAGAAAAATAAAAACACCTTCATATGGAGACAGACTGACAGCTGACAGACACATGCTGATACAAACAGCTGAAGGAAAAAAAGAAACAGAAAAGGTCCACACAAACAGAAATCTTAATCAAACTGATTCATTTACCAACCCCGCTGTAGGAATGCAGAGAAACAGACATTCTCACACACAACACACACACACACACACACACACACACACACACAGAGTTCTCATCAACCTGCATTCAGAGGGTCAAATAAAAGAGTAGTCTCTGAGAGGTCTGTGAGAGGGGCAATAGGCCAGGTTGAATGATCACCTATCTGTAGAATGTTTCATCAGTAATAGGACAGTATGACAAGAAGGATGCTTTATTTGTTTTTGGTAGTGCGGCTATATTATGTACAGTACAAATACGGGCAACTTCATCTTGTTCTCACATAGACATGTATCATGTCTTCCCTGTCCTGTCTGGCTGTGGTGGGGGGCTTTGCTGGGACAAGGTTGAGTTTGAGGGGGGGATGACGGCCAGGCTGACAGGCCTGCAGAGTAAGAGGGCGGGGGGTCAACATGGAAGTGGTTTCTCTCTCAGCAGCATCCTCCGGATGAAGGTTTGACAGTAGTGCCGGGGGGCAGGTCGATATTGGCCTTCCCGCCTCCTCCGGCTGTGGTCCCGGGGCCCATCCTCTTCTTGATTTCAGCAGCCATGGTCATGAAGGCCTGCTCCACATTTGTGGCATTCTTTGCGCTGGTTTCCAAAAAGGGGATGCCCAGAGAGTCTGCAAACTCCTGGACACAGTGGAGGAGGGACAGCGAATTTTAGGCATCTTTTTTGCAGCTTATAGGTACTCAGCAAAGCCAGATATCATCCAACGTTTGATGTTTTAGAGATGACCCATCTTAAATATGACATTGTTCAATAATCTCCGACATGTTGCACTCCCTACCATACAGCTCATGCAACAGTTTATGTGTGAGAGTAAATACCCGGCTGCCTTACCTTTGCTGTTGTGTAATCAACCACCTTCTTTGTCGTCAGGTCACACTTGTTCCCAACCAATAGCTTGTTGACATTTTCACTGGCATAGCGATCAATCTCCTGCAGCCACTGTTTGACATTGTTGAAGGACTCCTGGCACATGAAACAGATAAACATTAGCACCACGCTAAATCTGCTACAGGACATCAGCAGCCTTCACAGGGCTGACACCAAATCAGTTTGAAACATTGCAAGGACAGAATATGATACAAGAGAGCAAATCAGAGAAAGTTGTGAAGGTGTGTGTCTATTTTAAGGTGGATAAATAAGATAGAGAAGACATGTTATGTGTGGGCTTGCTCTCTCATATCTCTATATGAACACAGAACACAGTGTCACTGCAGCATGGACTTTGAGCTGTTCGTAACTTCTGTATCTGGACACCAGCAATCCTACTGAGGAAGTGTCCATGTCCATATTACATGTATGTCTGCCCTCAAGTTAACATTTGGAAAAAAGTTAACTGAAGTTCCACAGCAGATGTTTACATGCAGATCTCACTTCCAAAACTTTATCCAATGATAAATAGACATGGGAAGCAAAATCAGGTTCCAACTATTCAATTCCCCATCACTGATGATAACTGTATGTCATTTTGTTTAAACTGAACCATCTCCACCACATGGTTTCAGGAAGAACCTCCTGTAGTTCCACCACCACTCCACCTCCTGATTATAAAGTAAGAAACAGCACAAACACACTATTTCCTGACTGTTTGAGGTAGAGCATCAGTGGAGTTTTGGCAGAGGGACCCAGAGGACACAATAAGCTTTCTGAACTACCACAGGCCTGCATGTAAAAACATAAAGTGCTCTGAAGGGGTTGCTGAGACAGGGATGCAAAGCAATCATTGGGCTAGTGTTTACTCACTAACTACTTTCATCTGCTCACTCTTTACCCCGTACACACACGTACGTACACACACGTACGTACACACACGTACGTACACACACATACGTACACACACGTACGTACACACACGTACGTACACACACGTACGTACACACACGTACAGCCTCTCTGTTTCTCTCTGGCAGTATGTTAAATTAAACTAAGTCTAGGTGGGAAACACTGCAGGATAAGGTTTTGACCTGGCTTTAGATAAAAACACGCATTCGAATACTGATTTGGAGGTTGATTACCATGGCAACAGTCCTAGTATGGACCATATTTGTATTGGGAGACACTACAGAGCAAAGTTTCTGGTAGTCAGGGTCTAAGACACTTGACTCCTCTATACCTGAAACCTATCACATTACATCATGATTAATAGGTGTTGAAAAACAGTTTACAATACATCTTGGGCTATCAAGCAATATCCAACCGCTCACAGCGACTGAACGATACATTTTTATGAAAACATAAAGCCTAGTGGCCAATGCTGAAACCAGATGTATTCCTGGCCAAATAAAGACCTGACATCACGTCACGATATTTCTAGTGCAGCAACAACAAACCTTGACATCACACAATGCTTCAGCGGTCTAAACACCATCAGTTTTAAATGTCTGCCTCTCTGACTCTAATTGTTCTTGTGTAAAACTTCCATTTTGATCATTTTAGGTAAAAGGAAGACAGACTTATTTTGGTTCACAATAAGGTGAACACTAGCTTCTTTTGTTTTTACACCATACTACCCCTGCACATACACACAGCTTTGACTGTACACTCTTCTTCTCTGCAGGTTGTTAACAAAAGTCATCCATTAGTCAGCAAAATGAGGAATGTTTTATTTCTCTGAATTTCAGTGCATTAGAAACTGGCCAATTAGATTCTGTCTGAAAATTAGTAGGTTAAGTTCCACCACTAATAAACAAATGTACAATGGGGCAAAATCTTATCTGCTTGTGTGTAAATGAATGAAACTATGAGTTCTAGTAGATATGGTGAAATAGTGTAGTGTTATACTGACCTGGTCTGTGACATCGTACACTACAATGATACCATGAGCACCTCTGTAGTAGCTGGATGTGATAGTGCGAAACCTCTCCTGCCCCGCCGTATCCCACTGTCAAAGGGAAAACATCATATTTAGTTAGTCTGTAAGTGTTCACTGCTTCCTGGTAGAATTGTATTGTATTGTGTGAGTCTGAAAGCCACCTGGGACAAAAAAAAAAAAAGACTCCACTGAAAACCACGATAATAACAACAACTTAATGCAGCATCATAGTTCATCTGATTTATCCACTCTTTACATGCTTATTCCTGTTTATAAAAAAGGAAAAAGAAAGCTGCTGATTATTCTACTTTTTTTCCCTTGACAACCAACACCATGTGCCGGCTCAGACCAACAATCAATGTGTGTTTAACAAGTTGTATGTGTTTGAATTCTATATGTATGTATGTATGTATGTATGTATGTATGTATGTATGTATGTATGTATGTATGTATGTATGTATTATTATATATATATATATATATATATATATATATATATATATATATATATATATATATAATATATATATATATATATATATATATATATATATATATATATATATATATATATATATATATATATATACATACACACATATACATACTTATACAACTTTTTTTCTTTGGTAAGACATACTACCTCCTTCATTCTTGTTAATATCAAAGTCTTTCTTAATGTTTAACAATAGGGGTGTTTCTCCTCCTAACCAGAAATGTGGGCTTTTGTGCATGCGCCTCTACCCCAGCCTCGCATATTGTTTACAATGCACAGAGGTGCCCGCAAACCACACTACAAACCCCCGCTGACAGTATATCCAGGATACACTGTATATGCGTCAAATATATTTTACGTGTCCAAAATATTGGCATATCACATGTGTCTATCAGAAAATGCTACATTCAGAATAAGGACTATTTTTGGAAAACCAAAAGGAACATGCTGTTTGCAGAACCCTTTTAATTCCTATTTGGAATAAGAGTGGAAAATTAGTTTGCATGTAACCGTAGTCATTGTTGTCTGGGTGTTTATATTGGGTTTGTTGTCAGTAAAAAAATGCTAAATAATTAGACTTTTCCTTTGATGTTGCCAGTTGTACAGATGTCCAAAGAATGAAAACAACCAACTTTCTGAGTGATCCATGTTTACTGAAGAACACTGGTGAGAAAGCACTTTGCAAAGCTAAAGGGAAACAGTAGGTTACTTACAATCTGAAGTTTAATGGTCTTTCCATCTAGTTCTATGGTTCGTATCTTGAAGTCCACACCAATAGTGCTAATGTAACTTTCTGTGTATGTGTCATCCTGCAGAGAGAGAAACACTCAAGAGTTAGATGGCTCACACAAGAGGGAAGTCACACTGTTGTTACAGTGATTATTTCAGTAGTACACAACTTGGAGCATGTCACTCTGTGAGTGACTGAGTTCCAAGTTAGTTAACTGCTTAAGTTTGCACATGTAAGCATCGTATTATCTCAACAGTAACTTAGTTTCTTATTGAGCTAATAAGAAACCCAGCTAAGATAGCCATAGTGCATTGTTGTCCAACTGAAGACAGCTGTTAACAGTCTGCATGAAATCACTGCATATTAAAACGTATAGTACTGCAAGACTGAATCATGTTTAAGTGTAAAATGGAGTTAATATAAATAAACAGTATCTGCTATTTTAGAGGAACTTACTGCAAATCGGAGAAGAAGGCAAGACTTTCCAACACCAGAGTCACCAATCAGGAGCAGCTTGAATAAATAGTCACTGTGAGGGAAGGGTAAAAAAAATGTTTTAGTTAGAGGATATTCAGAAATCGTTAACCAAGTGAGTGAGTTACAGATTATCCATTAAAGAACATGAATGGCTGCCATAGTAAGGGCCTGGGAACACACAGCTCTGAAAATATTATTTTGATCTAATGTCAGTGTCAGTCAGATGCAAATATACGTCAGCATTAGTGCCATCATTTGCAGAGTGGCTTAAAAGTCTGCCTTTTACAAGGAAAAGGAAGCATGATTCAGGACAATGAACCCTGCTGAGCTCAGGCACATTTTCAGAGGGAAGAGCAGGAAGCTGGCTGATCATGCGATTGGACATATGAAGTCAGTTTAAAGGACCAGGGACAACAGAGTAAAGAAGTACTCTAGCTATGTGCTGTACCTTTGTACTCCAGTTCAGTAGTTCACTACTGACAAGTAGATTCAGCTGAATTTTCAGTTTCTGGGCCAGAGCTCCTTCTCCCCCCAGGGAGCTGTACTGAACACCACACTTGTGTACAGCATGTATTAAAAGGTCCAGTGTGTAACATTTAGGAGGATCTATTCAGAAATGGAATATTCATAGCTATGTTTTCATTAGTGTATAATCACCTGAATATAAGAACCATTGTGCTTTTGTTGCCTTAGAATGAGCTGGTTTATTTTTTATTTTTTTAAAGTTATTTTCATTATCTTTATTTGATAGAGACAGCTGCAGATAGACAGAAAAGGACAGGACAGAAAAGAGAGAGAGGATGACCCGCAGCAAAGGGCCGCAGGTTGGACTCGAACCCTGGGCCGAGCGCCCAGAATGAACTGTTTTTAACTACAGAGGGTGCGTGTCCTCTTCTACTGAGTCCGAAAAGAACAACAAATTAAAGAACAATGCCTTGCAGTCCTGAGTCAAATAAGAAATGACCCTACTTCTGACTTGATTTATTGTCTCAGTAAACAGTTTCCTAATGAGTTTCTGGTCTCAGTCTCTAGTTTCAGTCTTCTTCCATACAGCATGATGTTCATTTAGTAACTGATGGTCCTATTTAGAGTAAAACAGACCATAAAGCAGGGTATGCTTAAGGGCGGGGCTACCTTGTGATTGACAGGTCATTATCAGTGAGTCCGTCCAGCTCAACACACCAAACTCAAACTGTCAAACTAGACAGTGCTGATCAGATATGGATCCAGATTCTGTTACTGCGTGGACTATTTATCTCCTAAAATCGTTTCACAAACATATTTCAGTGTACTGTTTAGCTGTAATATGACAGTGTGTGTGACCAGGCGAGCTGCCATTGTTTCCTGCTTCAGACAAGTCGGAACTGTGCAGTCCAACTCCAAATGGTACTCCACAAACCAATGGGTGACATCATGATAGGTTCACACTTGGATGTGACTAGAGCTACATTGATTACTTGATTAGTTGCTAACTCTACTAAATTCGATTACTTACCTTTTTCTTAAGAAAAGTCTTAATTCTCGGAGTTCAGCTTCTCAAATGTAAATATTTTCTGCCTTCTTTAGTTCTCTGTGACAGTAAAGTAAATATCTTTGGGTTGCCGACTTTGGGAAACATTTTTCACCATTTGACATTTTATGGACTAAACAACTAATTGAGAAAATGAGGGGCAGATTAATCAGTAACGGAAATAATTGTTAGTTATCGCCCCAGATGAGACTGACAGATCTCACTTTTTATTCTATTTTCAAAGAGCATTATTTTATCTAGCATACTAAGGGCAGGGCATATTACATCAACATTATCCAGCCCAATGACCCACCTGTCTGGCAGGTCCAGACAACCTGCAGAAAAACACACAGGTCTAAACTACACCCTGCACCACCGTTACACCCATATGAAATTAAGCAATATAATGATAATCCTTGACTTCTCCAAACATACAGAGAGAGAGAGAGAGAGAGAGAGAGAGAGAGAGAGAGAGAGAGAGAGAGAGAGAGAGAGAGAGAGAGAGAGAGAGAGAGAGAGAGAGAGAGCAATATCTGTGTGTGCAGCTATACAAACTTTAAACACACAGCTTTGCCCTTTCTAACATTTGGTTGATGAAAGATGTGCTACTGTTCAGCTTTGTTCTGTTTCTTCCTCTTCCTACTGATCCTCAGATAGACAGGAAAGGTGGGTACAGAGAGAGAGGATGACACGCAGCAAAGGGCCGCAGGTCCTAAAAGAAACCGTAGCCCCGGAAAAAAAAACCAAATACTACACTTTCCTTTCAATTCTCCTGCATGTTATGACTGCCAGATGTGAAACTCAGAGATGTGGATTTCTTGAGGTTTAGTAAAGGAGAATGTGCTGCCTCCTGGTTTGAGTAGGATGCTAGTGTCCTGGTTACAAATCAGTCCCAGCAAAGAAACTTGATAGTTTATTCAGACAAGTATTGCAGTAAAACTAGCAACTGGCACTTGGCAGTGAACCTACTGATATTACATCCCTTGCATCAATAGAGGGAAGGCAGTGATGTACAACTTCATTCTCACACATCAGCTGAGCCTGGCAGTCTGAGTATGGTCCTGCCTCAGTTCCTCTATTCCAGTCATTCCCTATTCATTGGGCCTGTGACTGTGGACAACAGCCGTCCCTGTGCAAGGCTGACCACACACTGCTTAACACAACTCTGACAACAGAACAGAGTTCAAATCCAAGAGTTTGAACAAATCGCGAGGCCTTCTTGATTTTAAGGAGTGTAAGAAAACATAAAAAATATATTCAGTTGGCCTATATATCAGCATCTGGTTAAATTCTGTCAAGAAAAGTAAATATTAAATACATCGTCTAATAGAACAGTTAATGAATGAATGAATCTGTCAAAAATGAAGCATTTTAAGTCAATAGGATTGTTAAAAATGATTAAAAAAATACATCATACAGACAGAATTGTATAAAAAGTTCCTCAAACAGGAAATAATATTTGGGAAAAAGGTTGGAAAACACTGATCTATGCCAAAGAGGTGACTCATTAATACAAAACTAAGCAGTCTGCTGAAAGGAATGGGGACAGAGTATCGCCAGAGAATGTCTAATAAGGAGAGAAGTTCCACTCTCGGTAAACTTCCGGCTTCTGAACGGTTGCAGTCCCCCTCTGGTTCCATATGAGGGCGCTCACAGGATGAGTGCAGAATGAATGGAGGTCTATGGAGCTATACCCCTCAAAATCCACTTTTCTCAGGATAGAATTTTTTGTCTACTAATTTGAATGTTGCATTCGAAAGGGGACGCAAAGAAATTACACATTGCTGGGCGTTAGATTTTTTAGAGTCACTTATTTGCTTTAAAAAGTCTTTTAAAATGTCAATGACGTCATACACATCGTACGGCCAGAGATACTGCTTTACAGCAAGCCTTGAGTCACTTTGTGCTTCCACGCTCTGCACTTCCTTTTCTCTCGAGGCATCGACAACACAGCTGACACAGGTTAGGCTCTCCCTGTCAATGCACGTGCTAGAAAGAGTTTTTGTTTTGCTGTTTTAAACACCATGCCGAAATATTCATATTCCCGCTTCGGATGCCACGATGCCATCAAGCGGGATCTCTGGTCGTAATCAGTCCTTCACTGACCAATCAGCGTTCATTAGCAGAATGCTAGCGTGTTATGGGCAACAACAACTCAACCTGTAAGAAATCGAAATGACATAAGTACTCGTTCATTCAACTTTCGACCTATAACCCATGTTGAACTTGCAAAAACTACAATCAAATTTCTCAATCAGATTTCTCAACCACAATCAGGTGAAAGAGACAAATTTAGCCGTCTAGCTCAATAGACTCCCATTCATTTAGCACTCATGGGCGATCGCCCCCAGTGGAACTCTGGTGGAACTGCACCAAAATTCGGTACAATGGGACTTAATAGAGAGTGGCCAGGCTCTCTGTAGACGGGCTCTGGTATCCTATTTAGAGAAATGACATTTTTTGTTTGATTTAAGAGTACGGTTTAACAGCTTGCCAAACAAGGGAAATGTGTACTTCTACAGTCCACCCAAGTGAACATTTATGAATGGGAAACCAAAGACGGGGGTGAAGTGCTGGATTGCTCAACGCTGCTGTGGTGAAATCGACGGTTTGTCCTATGACATGTGACCTACACATGACTGAGAGGCTGTGGAGGGGCTGCTTCTGCATTACTAAACCAAATGACTGAAAACTGAGTCATGCTCGACACTAGGTAAAACCAATTTCTGGGACGTAAACAACGGATGGCAGTTACAGTATGTTTGTATAACAGCAGCGAGGAAACAGCCAGTCACAAACGCAGTGAGGCATCAACAGCAGCAGAGCGATACCTATCGTCTGTCTAACCGTTGCTGTCCACTCATATTCATTAGTATTCACTAAGTCAGATCGTTGTATTCATTCAGGTGGCTAATTCAAGCGGATGTTGCTGACATTAGTGCATTTTAGCTCAATAAAAACAACTGTTGAAGACACTCGCAGTCCTGTATTTACATCAGCATGAACCGCAGCGAACCGAACCCAGTCACTGCCGCTGGCCCAACAGCTGGCCCAACAGCTGGCTACCAGCGTTAACACAGGACACCAGGAGCACTGTGTTGTTTGTGAGAAATATCCATCGACTGATGAGTGTTTAACACCAGCACTCCACAGACATCCCTGGAAAATGTCCACAGTATATCAGGCAGGCACAGGTGGACATTGAGGCTAACGTCAGCTGATGTTAGCCGCTAACTTTGCTCAACTGCTAATATTAAGTTGTTTGCCAGCGCTAACTTCCTTGCTAGCAAAATGCTAACTACAGCTAGCTGGTACAAAAAAATGTAACGTATCATACTTACTATTCTGGATTCATTGTTGACTCGTTGTGCGGTGTGTCCCCTGCTGTGAAATGTGTCTCTGTCCCTGTCTGATGAGCAGCACTGCTTCGTTGTGAAAAGGGGAGCTGTGGCTAGCTGACACTGCTCCCAAAACCACGGCCGGCTACTTGTTTGTCGGTAAAAATCCAAAATGGCTGCAACTCCAACCAGGAAACAGCTAACATTAGCCAGCTGGTTAGCCAAGTGAGGAATAACACCAAATACGTGGCTTTATTTTATAGATGCCTTGTCTTTAAAGCCAGTCTGATAACTCGTTTTACAAGCGTAATAAGCTGAAAGCGAATAAACAGGGGGTGTCAGTAACCGTCTAGCTAACCAGCCTCTTTCTCTCCGTCTCGCTGAGTGTGTGTCGTTACCGCAACAGCCAACTATCAAGCCCCGGGAGAGATTACGTCATTTAGTGAAACGTGGCAAAGAGGAGTCAGCCCGTACCGCGTGTCAAATACGCACTATTCACAACTTCCGGACATATAACGTTACCTCAAAATAAACCTCCGCGACGTGTATTTTGTACTAACGTTAATAATAATATGGAAGCCAATTTCTGCCAATGCGACGGGGAAAAAGAGGATTCTGTAAGTCATTATAACGAGACACTTTATCAAAATACTGACTTAGCATCTCAAAAAACTGAGAAACCTTTTCATTATTTGTCATAATAATGACTTACAGAATGCTTTCCCCCGTCACATTGGCGGAAATGGGCTTCCGTTGCTTCTTCTCTACAGCGAGGCTTTTATTTACAAATATCATCATTATTTCCGGCCACAGCCTTACATCTGTCCGGCTTGACACATCAGCTTTCAGCAGGTTTCTTTACCATCCAGCTGTACTGTACACTTTGGTCGACAGGTCACCCATTCATCCAGAAACTACTCCCTCGAGTTCACGTGCGTGTCATGAGTCATAGTTGTGTCATCACTGGTGGTAGGAAGTAGGTTCATGTCAGCACCTGTACACAGGTAGGCTGCAATTAACATGAGTCAACTGATAAAGAGTTGGATCTTTGGCTTTGGTTGAGTAACAGTTCAATACATTGAGTCTTCCTTCTGTTTACAGTAAACTTTTATTTTTCAACCCACAAATACAACACAATACACAATAAAGTTTTATGGAGAAAAAGCTTTTGGTCTCATCATCATTTCAACTGATTCTCTTCCAATCCATCTGTGTATCATTCATTTTGAATCACTATAGTTTGTATATGTAGCCTATTATAAACAGTCCAATAAGTGAGCACTTCCAGAGAATAGGGGACAAAAATACTGAATCTGACACAAAATCAGCCTCTCTCTCTCTCTCTCTCTCTCTCTCTCTCTCTCTCTCTCTCTCTCTCTCTCTCTCTCTCTCTCTCTCTCTCTCCAGTTTCTCAGCTCAGTTTCAATAACGTGAAAAGATAATTCTGTTTGTCAGTAACATGTTCTGCCCATCTTTCCTGTCACGTAAAGAATATATTTTGCACATTTCCAGGTATTATTAAGAAAGATAAAATAATGCAAATAGCAAGTGTAAAATAATAATGAAATAATTCTGAAATATCGCAGTATTAACATTTTATACTGAAAGACGGCTCGACATTGTATTAATGGAATATGCTGAATAGATTTATAATATTTGAAATGACACATCCAAATAGGTCTATAATGTGGATACATTTCTTCCTTGAAACTGTCAAAAACTGAAAAGGTTTGCATGTGACTTTTTGTATTACATCTTAATTTTGTTAAAACATTTTCAGTGTGATCATTTTTTGACAATGTAGTTGGTAGCTTTGCTGTAGTTCAACTTTTTCCGGTGTGAAGTAATTGGTAGCTTGCAGAGCCTCGTATTTACTCGTCTGCCTTTTTTTCTGTCTTCTTGTTCTTCTCCTATTTCTGTTTCCAAGCTAATACACCACTTCCCCTTGTTGCTCCTTGTTGCTCCTTAGTACTTACACACACCTACAGACCTAAACACACACACTCACACACACACACACACACACACACACACACACACACTCACTCACTCACTCACTCACTCACTCACTCACTCACACACACACACACACACACACACACACACACACACACACACACACACACACACACACACACACACACACACACACACACACACACACACACACACACACATAGATACACACTGGAATCCCTTACAATTAGCTGCACTGTACCCATATCATTTATCCTAAACCTAACCCTTTTTTTTTTTTTTTTTTTGTTTTATTGTTTTGTCTTTTTGTGTGTTTGGTTTGTTTTTTGGCCACACAGTGTGTAAGGTCTGTCTCGTCTTCTTTCACCTGTCTAATGTCATAACTTATAAAAAAACAACAAACTAGTTTCCCCAACAATAGGTCCTTACTGTGTTTCTCTATGGGAGGTTTGTATGGGAACCTCCAGCTTCTTCTGGTGGATGCCACCTCAACTCCAGAACCTCAGCCAGGGGCCCTTCTTTCAGAACCTTCACAGTCATAAAGGGCTTTCTTTGACACCTGAGTGAAGTCTGGTAGCTCTGGTGTATGAATCGATAGAAGAGCCCAGCTTTCTTCCACCTGCTCCTCCACTGAGGCACAGATGGACAGTAATGGAAAGTCAGGCTGATCATCCACGGACTCTGCCCCCAACATTTCTCTACAAACAGCAAAGTGCACCAATCACCTCAGCATCCCGCACTGTATGACTGGGTTCTTCCCTTACATTCCCATACATTACTGTACAGTTGAGAACTGTCTCTCCTAACATTTTAAAAACAATGCTCCATGGATGGGCAAAGGACAGATTGGTAGAAAGGACTTGTCTTAGGTCCATACTATTCGTCCATATGTGAACCGTTGACAGACCATGGAGGGAGTCAGATTATTAACAAAGAAGAATCCTCTCCCAGTAGCACAACTGTGACTGGACCAAGTCCATCTACACAATGGAGCACTAAGACCTTCACAGTTTTTACTCTGGTAGTCACTGTTTCCCCACAAAGACAAACTTCATCCCCTCTCCGCTCCACTGTAGTCTGTCCCAGTGCAAAGTCCTCACACTTGGACCAGTTACCATTTGCAGAGGACACCAGTTTGTATAATGCCAGCTTCTCTTTGAGTGTCATCTAAAATACCATTTGTCCTATGGTAAAAACTGTTAGAACCTGTCTGAGAGAGACTGTCAGAGACAGGCCAGCTGAGTCCACCCAAAACCTTTCACAAAACAGAAGCTCCTGAGAAAAACAACTTAGTCCATGAAAATTAATAACCATAATCAAATCTCAAAAGCTTTCTCTTGATCAATGGATAACAGTCCAACATCAAACCACTGAACTTTAGAAGTCCCAAATCAAAAACAAATTAAAGCTGCAAGCAGCGTTGGGCGGGACCTTGCACTCCACGCAACTCGGGGCGTGCTGCGGCCGCGTCGCATGCCGTCGTAACACATGGGGACCAAGACATGAAAATCTGCCGTTAATCAGCTCAAAATGCTTTAAAAAACATTAAAAACTATAAATTTACCTTTTAATCTACACATTGTAGTAATTTGCATTCAGATGATTTCTTCTTTTCTAGGACACTAATACTCCATATGATGTGAAAATAACCTACTGTTGAATGTAGTCAGAATGATTATTCAAGATGCAGACTAAATATAGCTAATAAAATCTTTCTGATTGCCAGTTCCCAGCCTTTGCATCTGTACCTTGAGCTTTTTTCTCCACAGGGAGGCACTATAGACAAATAAGCGCACCAAACATTTGAATGACAGCAAGTCACTCCTGCCTAATGCAATTACTTGACTGAATACAGAGCCTCCTTATGCCTCCATCATTAACACAGTTTGCAACCAGTGCTGTCTGTATGTTTTATGGTTTTATGTAACCTCAATCCATGTTTAGATGTTTTAGTACATTCAACACCACCACTTTTAAAGCCAACTGACAGATAAATGTTCAAATTCACCAGCTACTCAATAGCAAATCATTATTTTGTGTCTGAAATCTACCAGCCACTGCAATATTTTAACCAGCATTTGGCTGGTGCTAATTTCCCACCCTGATCAAGACTAATAATTGTCAAGTAACTCTAAATGTGCTTAGCTAAAGCTTTAAAATCAGGGCAGCAACCTGTCCAGTTTCCTCTCAATGTGCATTCCAAACATCACACAATATGGCACACAGACACAGAGGTATGAGTTTAAACAATCCGGTTTATTCAATGCCTTTAACTGACTTATAGTATAGTGACAAGTTTGAGATGTTTTGGGTTCTAAAGGCTGTTTTAGAGGGTACATTCACCAAAAAATGACAAAAACCTCAAGTGGATATATATATATATATATATATATATATATATATAGTGGATGTCCATGTTCTATTTGTCCATTGTTGTCTCTACGGACTTCAGTATGTCTTACAGGAAGAGTGGCAATAATAGTACACAGGTTGTGGAAATATATATTCTGGTGGATCATTTTCCAGTACTGTGAGCACCAAAAACTAAATTCCATTCAGCTGCATTGTACATGGTGGAGGCAGAAATATCCAAACCTGGACAAATAAAGTATCTGCCTTGTAATTTGGGTAAACTGACCCTTTAACAGACTTGTTAACATTGACATCAGTAAGAACAGATCAAAAATGTATTTGAAGGCTGTGTGTGTTATGTTGGACATGTTACCACCTGTCCTGTACACGTTATTACTTTCTATAAGAAAGGGTTGAAAAGTTATTGATCCCTGTGAGAAACTGTCATTGTAAAAATGAAAAAGATCATAGTGCAAATGGCTGTGTCCTACATTACAGTAGAGGGTGTAAGACTGTTACTGACCACTTCCCTTCTGCTGCTCAGAGAAACAGTTGTAAACCTGACATGTTGAAATGACACATAGAGCTGTTCATGTGCTCAAACACTGATTGAACAGTCTGACATCACAGGAGGGTGCCACTGCAACAATGATCCATTTTCAAAAAAGCTATTAGAACGTGTTCAATTTTGTTTGTATGTTATGCATTCATAAACACAGATAAATACAACTTGTCAATTATTAAAAAGGTGCCATAAGTGATATTTGTTTGGTTAAAATAAGTGTTAATTAGCTCTATATTCCATCATCCATCACTGATACAGAGTGTTTAGTCGGTATCATAGCTCTTCCAGTCCCTCCTTTCTGCAGTAAACAGAGAATATATTTTCTGGTATCCTGTTCCCACTTTATCCAATCAGGAGAGAGAACTCCACAAAGAGGCGGTCCTCAAGGGCATGCGGCAGAATTTCAGTGTCTTGACGTGGGGAGGAGGGTGGGCACTGCTCACTGCCAGAACAGACGGGAAGATACAGGACCTTTAATTTCATGTCCTTATTTTGTCTTTAAAGCACCGGTGTGTAGGACTTAGTGGCCTCTTGCGTTGAAATTGCAGATTGCAACCAACTGAATACCACTGGTGTCTGTATTTGACAACCTGGGAATGAGAACGGGTTGTGAAGTGGGAAGAGAAATTATGGTGACCGCAAAACTTTAAAGTCGTCAAAGGCCCTATCTAGAGCCAGTGTTTGGTTTGTCTGTTCTGGGCTACTGTAGAAACATGGTGGTTCAACATGGTGGACTCCATGGAAGGTGACCCATGGCATCTGAAGATAAAAAAAAAAAAGGCTAGTTCTAAGGTAACGAAAACACAACAATTCCTATATTCAGATGATTATACACTAATGAAAATTTCTGAAAATAGATCCTCCTGAATGTTACACACTGGACCTTTAAATGATGAGTTATTATTGAATAATCACAAAAGGAATGTTAAAAAGGCTTTGAAATGTTCCTTTTTGTTATTTCTGTTGCACACACACAGTTTCTGCCTACATGTTCTAGCTGTTGCTCTGTGGACTCTATAGAGTGCTGCAGGGATGACGTATTAAGCATCACCCTGTTCCTTCGACACAGAGCCAAACGGATTTCTCCACTGGATTTTGGATTATTGCAGGATTTACTATACTTACATGTTTTGTTCAGCAAGATCATCTTCACTAATGAACACCACTTTTATGATTTGTGAAGCGTAAACGTGATGGGCAAAAGGAAACAGCTAACATTAGGCTATAAATGAACTACGCTACTTCACCAGCATTAAACTTCCAACTTGTAATGAAATCTTCAAGTTGTAAAGTTTGAGTTAGAACAGTTTGCAAGAGCTGTAGCGAGGCTGTAAAGGCGGACTAATGAGTAGATCAGTCTCTGTGTTTTAATGTCACAGACAACCTCTCTAGTCTCATTTAGACACTTGTTAGCAGCCAGCGTTTTTAAGAGACGTAAACGATTCAGCATTCACAGGCGGGCTACTCGCTGATATGTCTTATATGGTAGAACAAACTGAGAATCTCTTATGTTTATGTTAACCACAAACCTCATTTTCAGACATCTAACCTAAAGGACTCATTTCTGCAGCACTCTGTAACTTCTTTTCAGGTCGGCCTGAGACTCAACATTAAACATTACAAGTGATAGAAAGCCTGACCCGAAGAGGGTTAAGTCTGTATGAGTAGAAAAAGCAGTGCAATGTTAAGACAATATAGAAAAGGGTTTTAGGAGCACTTCGAGGTCCTGTATTATTCAATGTGATCAGTTCAGTTTAAATTGGTCCTGATTGTTTCCTTAATGAAAGTTCTTTGCTAACTCTGAAGATCTTGCTCTCCATTACAAAAAGACAAAGAACCTTGTATTAATTGTTTGGAAGAAAACTAATAAATAAGTGAGAGAAACCATATGCTTGTGCACAGATGCGTCCTGCAGACAGTTCATACAGTGGACCCCTGGAAGCCCACAGGGCCTGGGTCCTCCTCTCTGCTCTGCTGGACTAGACTGGGCTGGGTCAGGCTGTCCATGGCAGACAGGATGGAGGAGAAGAAATGTTCGGTGTGTGTCTCCAGAGCTCCAGACTGCCTCTCAATCAACAGCAGGGCATCTCTTAAGACTGCAAACAAGGAGAGAGAACGATTCAGTGGGAAAATGATGAGATGAGTGTTGGGAGTTTTCAATTCAGTATTTTTGTTCATGATGCCTGTTAAAGACTGACATGGAGACGTGGTGTTGATGCAGCTGAGGAGGAGCTGTCCGCTGTGCAGAACAGAGGAGGTCAGGGGCTGATGGCTGCTCACCTCTCTCTGAAAACTCTGGCAAGAAGACCGTCATATATTACTGTCAGCAGAACAGAATAATAATGTATAATAATATCTTTATTTACTTATTATTTATTATAAAACAAAGTTACAAAGTGCTTCACATAAAAGCAAAACACACATAGCATAGATACACAGCAATGAAACAATCTAAGTACTAAATGAACTAGAGATGCACGACAATTATCAGGGCCATTCAATTATCAATGTATCTAATATTTATATTATCATGAATTATTCCAATATTTTAATTATAGATGATAAATTATACATAAAATAATAATTCCTATGCAAATTATTTGATAGCTTTAGGTTCTATGGAAGCCAAAGTATGTCTCACCCTCACCTGATACTCAGCCAGAGACGACTTCACACTGTCGATGTCCACAGTGGGTGCGGCCAGCAGCTCCATCTTCTCTGATACCGTGTACAGCCGCTGGATGAGCTGCTCCAGATGTGAACAGAAGACCTGCAGACAAATATGCCAGACTGTGCATCAAAAATGAAACTCTGCAGATTTTAGATTTCCGATATAGTCAAAAGACTGTATGTTGCACTCAGACATAGAGTCAGACTCTTGTATAACAGATCCGATCATGTCTCTACCTGGATGTGCTTCATCAGGGAGTCACTTTGCTCCGGGTTCTCCTGGCTGCTCCTACGGCTGCCAGGCAGGGTGAGGCCACACAGCTGCTCCACCAAGGCCTCCACCTCCCTGAGACTGGACTGACTCAGTGCCCCTCCAATGGGCTCTACCCAGGCTCTAGAACTCCTCCTCACTGCCTCAAAGTGATCAGCTGCTGATGGACAGGAAATGGATTTTGGATTTTTTTGCTGTAATTTTGTCAGTGCTGTATGTACCACAAACTAATTTCCCATTGTTTTAGAGTGGAGGCAGAAATCTTAGTCACCGATTTCTCCAAATGTCCAAATCCAAAACAATCTGCATGGAGAGCTACCACCAGAGAGGGGGTGATTTTGTAATTTGGGGGAACTGACCCTTTAAGAGCATATAGGCCCAGTATATGAACATCCATTAAATAAATGTATTATTAAACATAAAAAACTTAAATACCCGTCTGAGCAGCACTGATCCCCTCTCTGCCTGTCTCATCTCTTCCTTCGTCTGTGTCTTCATTGTTGGCCTGCGGCTCTTTGGCTTCAGCCTCCTGTTTCTCAGGCAGGGTGATGGAGGACAGGATGGAGGTGGTGCCTGGCCCCAGAGACTCCCAGCTGGCTGTGACAGGCTGGCTCAGCTGGGCCGTCACCTCCCGCACCTGCGCACAAATACTTTCCGTGTTTAGCTGAACACAGACTACTACTACTACTACTACTACTGAGCATTAGAGCTGAATAACACTACTCCACTGCGTCTGTTTGTCCTTCCACCATCAAGAATGTTTGATGATGAAGTGTACCTGTGTTTAAAAAGTCCACATGACCCAGGTTTGCAGCCTTTTATGTTTCAGAGTTGTCATCATCCATTTACTAGTAGGGCTGTGTATTAGCAAAACTCTGGTGATACGATATGTATCATGATATAGGGGTTACGATTCTTTCTTACACCCTAAGAAAATATCAATACACTTGAGTATCGCAATATTTTGTCGTAAGATATTTTTGTGTTTAAACCCCCAACTAGATAGTGGTGTTGTAAACTGAGGGCTATGATGTTGGATGTAACAAGGACAAATACAAATGCAGATCTCACTGTTCTGGGTGCATAAAGAAAGTCAACTTCTTTTGCATATAGATATTTTATGCACATAGGGGTCTGTTCTCTATACATGACAGTTTTCCTAAGATTAGATTTGTTTTAAAATTGCAATATATCGCCTTGTTTACAGTATCGCAATATATTGCAATAAACTGAGTCGTAACCCCTGTATTGTGATACGAATCATATCGCCAGATTCTTGCCTGAACACAGCCCTACAACTTAGCCGATATAAACGTACAAGACGTTTATGGCAGTCCCTGTTGCTGGATTCCCAATAGGACATGTATCTATATCATGAGTAGGAATTCAAAAACAAACCACAACAGACAGTATACGATGGTGATGCTACATGACAGACCTATTAAATCTGAACACTAAGGCTAAGAAATAAAGAGCGTTAGCATGTCAACATTAGAGACTCACTGTCTAAAGATATAGTTACTCTAGATGGCATTACCTTGGCCTCTAGCACCACTGTCAGGAATCTTGGAGTTATCTTTGATCAGAACATGTCCTTTAACTCCAATATAAAGCAGACCTCTAGGACTGCCTTCTTTCATTTACGTAATATTACAAAAATTAGACACATCCTATCACAGACAGATGCAGAAAAACTAATCCATGCATTTGTTACTTCTAGGCTGGATTACTGCAACTCTTTATTATCAGGTTGCCCCAATAAGTCCATTAAAACGCTCCAATTAATTCAGAACGCTGCAGCACGAGTACTGACAGGAACTAGAAAAAGAGATCACATCTCTCCTGTACTAGCTTCTCTGCATTGGCTCCCTGTAAAATGTAGTATAGAATTTAAAATCCTCCTCCTCACCTATAAAGCTCTTCATGGTCAGGCCCCTTCATATCTTAAAGAGCTCATAGTACCCTATTACCCCACTAGAACACTACGTTCTCTGAATGCTGGGCTACTTGTGGTTCCTATAGTCTCTAAAAGTAGAACAGGAGCCAGAGCCTTCAGTTACCAAGCTCCTCTCCTGTGGAACCAGCTTCCAGTTGTGGTTTGAGAGGCAGACACCCTCACCACATTCAAGAGTAGGCTTAAGACATTCCTCTTTGATAAAGCTTATAGTTAGGGCTAGGGTTGGGTACCGAAACGCGGTACCAATAGGGCACCGGTTCCGACGTAAACGGTAGTAATCAGACCGAATAAGAACGAACATTTCGGTGCCTGACTTTTTTTGTTTACCCCGGTGTTCTGGTGTCAACTTGCATGACGTCAGTGCCGCTACTCAGCACACTTGTTGATCAAAAAAACAATTGCATGCAAGGGAGGTAACACGTCGATTTTGATTAAACATCTGGCGACACTTGGAGTTTATTTAAAGCCGAGCAATGCACCGTGTTTGATAACCTACGTGACGCAAGGCCAAGCACTTCAGCAGCCGCAGCCAGTGTCGGCCTCGCCGGACAAATTGAAGAGACTCCCAGCCCTGCCAGTGTGGTGGTGGACATCACAGATGTTGATGATGACATCAGCCTTTCCTCTTTGGGTATAACTAGTAATTTAATGCCAACCGCAAATCATGCATGTCAAGTAGGCTAGCAAACACCGTTGCCATTCAACAGCGTGAGTGACAATGTGTGCTATGTCGTTAACTTAATATTGTGTTCAATTTGGCCCTGGAAATAAAAGGGTATTGTTTTTTGACAAGTGTGTGTGGTTTCGTTTTTTTAAGTACCGGAACCGTTTAAAAAATACCAAGTAGCAACTGGTATCGGATAAAACCCAACTGATACCCAACCCTAGTTAGGGCTGGATCAGGTGAGTCCTGAACCATCCCTTAGTTATGCTGCTATAGGCCTAGACTATCGGGGGATTTCCCATGATGCACTGAGCTCCCCTCTTCCTCTCTCTTTCTGCACTCATTCATGTTCCATTAATGCATGTTACTAACTTCACTTCTTCCCCGGAGTTCTTGTGCTTTCTCGTCTCGCAGGTTCTCATGGATCCTGGTGGAGCCTCCTGCCATGGTCCTGCTTGACTACACTTGCCAATATCACTGATATTAGTGTTATTATTATTATAAAGTATTATTATAGATACGGTTACTGTTGTTGCTGTTGTCACTGCTCATTGTCCCCCATCGTTGCTGTTGTCATGTTCATCAGTCACTACTATTAGTGTAGTTGTTGCTACTGTTGTTGCTGTGCACCTGTCTGTCTGTCTGTCTGTCTCTCTCTCTCACCCCAACTGGTCGAGACAGACGACCACCCACCTAGAGCCGAAGGATCTGTCCTAGGTTTCTGCCTTTTAACAGGCAGTTTTTCCGCCAAGTGCTTGCTCATGTTGGTACTGTTGGGTCTCTGTAAATAATGTCATAAAGAGTTCGGCCTAGACCTGCTCTATTTGAAAAGTGTCCTGAGATAACTTCTGTTATGAATTGGTGCTATACAAATAAAATTGAATTGAATTGAATTGAACATATACACATCACACCAAAGAGCAAAACCAACGATATATTCCTTTTCTCTAGACGGCAATTTGCAGCCTGTGTGTATGACTGATTAATCATTCAATCAATTAAAACAACTGCCTCAGTGTAGCCTCACTAGAATTTAGAAAAACTTGTCAATCAAGCAAAAATGGTAGACTCAAATTAAATAAATAAAAATGTATTCTATGTGATGACGATAACTAAATTTACGCTCAACATGCATATATTTAAAATGTTTTGAATATTCTGTCTTTGATTCAAAAGCAATCTATAAATGTAACTGTTCTCTAACCTGATCTAACTGGACCTCACCACATTACAGCATAGTGGTAGAATATATATATTTTTTTGTATATTTGACTTTACTCGCAGCTCTCATACAAAGCCTGGGCTAAGTTTTCAAAAATAAGTTTTCTAATAAATATAGTTCAAGTGCCCCCCACATTTTCTGACATTAGAGATCATCAGTGTAATAACTTTTGGAAGCTGACAATTCTAGGATGTTGAGGGGTCTCTAAATGCACCATCAAGGAGAGTTTGGATAACAATATCTTCTCATAATTGCAGCATCACACAGCAGTGCTATAACTGAAGGCAATCAGTGTTCCAAAAGCTACTTTAACCAGTTTTCAAAGGACCAGTGTGTAGAATTTAGTAGCATTGAACACAGAAGTTGCTGACTGCAACCAACTGAATAACCAAGCATGTATGAGAAACTATGGTGGACGTGAAAATTGCAAAAAATGCAACAGGCCCTGCCTGGAGCCAGTGTTTGGTTTGTCTGTTCTGTCCTCCTAAATGTTACACACTGGCCCTTTAAGTCTGTGCAGGTGGAATGAATACATTTTAAAAACATACTCTTTGAAAAATGTGGTCCTTGACTAAAGGTCCATGCGTGTCCACAGCACTGACCTGTCTGGACAGCAGCTGCAGCTCCTCCAGCTGCTCCGGAAGAGGCCAGAACTCCTCGTCCACCTCCCCACACACACACCTGGACAGTGGAAGAACACTGGTGGAGCGAATGTAAGCAGCGGAGGTGCAGGAGGACAGTGCATGGCGCTGATGATGGTGACCATCACTCTTGTAATGATTCATTCCATCTCTGTCCTTACTGGAGTCTAGACTGTCCAAGGACAAACCCACAGGGTCTGTTAAGGAGAGCTGGGTACTGGAGGGAAGACCATCTGAGGATTTAGAGAACGCCTGCAGGTTAGGTGACCTATGGCCCGCGCTTAGAGTGCTTCGTTCTCTGGTCTGCCCTGTGCCACTCACAGTAAAGCCCAACCCTGACAGGCTGGTGGAGCTACAAATGTGGTCCAGTTCGATCCCTGAGTCCTGCAAGTTTGGATCTGTTTGGAGGAGAGACTCTCCCTGGAGCTCGGAGCTGCCCCACTCAGTGACCACCTGTCCCGGTCTCAGAGGGTAGGTGTAATCCAGCAGGTCCTGGTACTCCCTGTTTGGGTCCCAGCCTGCAGAGTGTCTGTCTGGAGATGGAGGCAAAGATTTAGGGATGGCACAGGCCCAGTAGTTCACCTGATAGGGAGACACTGAGTGTCCTCCAGAAGAGCATGTTTTTTTCTCTCCCCCACCTCCCCTATCCCTCCCACCAAGCCTGAACTGCGTCTGGCCTGAGCGAGGGGTGTAGGTAGGATACAGGACAGTGGAGGTCAGTCGTGGCCTCAAAGGAGGGTTCAGTCTTTGGACCTCCAGGATGGAGCTTGAGAGGCTCCGCTGAGCTGATCTGCATCCAGGGGAAGGTGATCTAAAGGTGGGTTCTTCACGGCACAGTGTGGTCCTGAGCTCTGAGACAGCCAGGGGTGAGCCGAGCTCTTCTCTAGAGGACGAGGGAGATGAGATGTCATTGCGAGAGAGGCTGAAGCTCTCTGGGGTCAGCTCCGCTCTCGCTCTTGTCAAGAAGTTCATATCAGTGTGTTGCTGACTTTGTTCTCTTCTGCTAACACCCAGCTGTCGCTCCTACAAGACAGAAGGCTGACAGAATTAAAAAGGATACTGTAACATTCAATTCAAAACATTAATTAGTGACGATTAAGAGTGTGAAGGACCCTGGCCCTACTTCTCATAGTGAATCCACTGGAACAGTTTCTCACCAGTGTCATCAGTTATTGGAGAAATGACCCTCCCTTAGTTTGGCCCCTTTTTGCTCTGTGCTCCAATAACAGTTGAGCAAGCCTATGTCAACTTTCTCCTTTCCTGTACTTAGATATGCTATATGCTAGGCTAATCTATGTTGAAAAGACAACCACATATTGAAGATGGTTCAAAGCTAAAAATGAGCTATTAGCTAAATAAAGATTGATGTAAATTAGCTAGCTAGTGATTTGTTAACTAGCTAGCTAACAATTGATGTAGTTTAGCTATCTATATTTAAAATGTTTATTACTGTTTGTTACTATTTTTGCAATAAGAAAACATCAGCTAGCTACTTAGCTAGTGTTTTGCTAACATTATCTAGTCAACTTAAGATGTGATGATATAGTGTATATGTCACTTTTATCTTTTAACCATCTTTAAAATGTGGTTGTCTTCTCAACACAGAGAAAAGGAGGAAGTTAACGAAGTTCTGACGAAGCTGTTGTTGCTGCTCCAACTGTTATTGGATCACAAAGCAAAAAGGGGCGGGACTTTTCAATTCTGCTGCCAGTTTGATAATGACAAAGTGACAAGGCAACAGGTTGTCAAATGCCTATCACGCCAGAGTATTTTATCTATGTATGGCAATTATTTCTGAGGGCAGGCATAACCAACGGTCTGAACAGACGTGGGCCATCATGTGTATGCAACACGTGGTTAAAAGCAAGTATACACTACCAGTCAAAAGTTTGGACACACCTTCTCATTTAATGGATTTTCTTTATTTTCATGACTATTTACATTGTAGACTCTCACTGAAGGCATCAACTATGAATGAACACTCTCCTTCTTGGTCAAATAGCCCTTACACAGCCTGGAGGTGTGTTTGGGGTCATTGTCCTGTTGAAAAATAAAAGATGGTCCAACAAAACGCAAACCAGATGGGATGGCATGATGCTGCAGGATGCTGTGGTAGCCATGCTGGTTCAGTGTGCCTTCAATTTTGAATAAATCCCCAACAGTGTCACCAGCAAAGCACCCCCACACCATCGCACCTCCTCCTCCATGCTTCACGGTCGGAACCATGCATGTAGAGACCATCCGTTCACCTTTTCTGCATCGCACAAAGACATGGCGGGTGGAACCAAAGATCTCAAATTGGGACTCAAGCACAGATTTCCACTGGTCTAATCTCCATTCCTTGTGTTTCTTGGCCCAAACAAATCTCTTCTGCTTGTTGCTTTTCCTTAGTAGTGTTTTTTTTAGCAGCTATTTGACCATAAAGACCTGATCCGTGCAGTCTCCTCTGAGCAGTTGATGTAGAGATGTGTCTGCTACTAGAACTCGGTGTGGCATTCATCTGGGCTCTAATCTGACGTGCTGTTAACTTGCGATTTCTGAGGCTGGTGACTTGGATAAACTTATCCTCAGCAGCAGAGGTGACTCTTGGTCTTCCTTTCCTGGGGCGGTCCTAATGTTAGCCAGTTTTGTCGTAGCGCTTGATGGTTTTTGCGACTGCACTTGGGGACACATTCAAAGTTTTAGCAATTTTCCAGACTGACTGACCTTCAGTTCTTAAAGTAAGATGGGACTGTCATTTCTCTTGGGTTCTTGCCATAATATGAATTCTAACAGTTGTCAAATAGGGCTGTCAGCTGTGTACCAACCTGACTTCTGCACAACACAACTGATGGTCCCAACCCCATTAAGAAGGCAAGAAATCCCACAAATGAACCCTGACAAGGCACACCTGTGAAGTGAAAACCATTTCAGGTGACTACATCATGAAGCTCATTGAGAGAAGGCCAAGGGTTTGCAGCGCTATCAACAAAGCAAAGGGTGGCTACTTTGAGGAATCTAAAATATGAAACATATTTAGTTATTTAGAGTTATTTCACACTTTTTTGTTTACTACATAATTACATATGTGTTCATTCATAGTTTTGATGCCTTCAGTGAGAATCTACAATGTAAATAGTCATGAAAATAAAGAAAAACCATTAAATGAGAAGGTGTGTCCAAACTTTTGACTGGTAGTGTATATATCTTACACTGTACTTACAACTGTTAAATATTTAAATAGACTGTTTGTCTGATTACTACAATTTTAAGTCTGTAGTTACAAGAATTCCAAACATGTAGTATAATTTTATGTAGAAAAAAAGCAGAATGTACACAGTCAGCAGCATTAAATAAATCTTATACTCTGAGAGTCATTCACTCCATCCTCACCTTCTCTGTGTGCTTCTGTGGGTGTGTCTTCTTTAAGATAGACGTGTGTTGTTCTGCAGAGAACAGAGGCTTTCTCATTACATACTGTCTGTCCGTCAGATACCTGGAGGTGGGCGCCATAGTAACACTTTTGTCTGGATTTGGGCATGTCCTGCTGTGTTTAAACTCTGGGAGGTGCATCTTCCATCGCTGGCTGCGTCCCCTGGCTTCCATTGGACAAAGGAAATTGGGGAAGGTCCTGTCAACTAAAGGAACATTAGAAATGTTAAAATGTGTTTTTTTTAAATTGTATTTATTGTTTGATACTTTTGGTTTCATTCATGCACCTTAAAAGAGCTGTGGGGTTGTGGAGGTTTTTGTCCAGTGTCTTCTCAACAGCAAACATCATGTTGCCGGGTTGAGGCACACAAGAGCACTGTAATGACACAGGAAATAAGGACAGTACATAAATACGAAGAGTGAAACTTCGAACAACTTATACTTAAAGTATAATTAGCAGAACACACTGAACATTTCTAACCTAATGCAACACACAGACTGCACACATTTTCATAAGAACTGTCTAATTTCTCTAAAAAGAAAACAAATTATGCTATAATTAAGAAATTGTACTGCACACATAGAGGCTTTAAAGCCACATTCATTCAGTTTTTGGCCACTTGGGGGCAGCAGAACAAGTATAAAACTGACAAATATAATTGATCTAACAATACAGTCTCACTCCCAACTTGTCAAATACATTTTTGGATGTGTAGGGCACCGAGAATAAATACGCAATGTCCTTTCAAAAAAAGCTTGTGTGGTTTAGGTTTAGGCCCAGAAACTTCTTTGTTAGTAACATTACGTGACTTAAAAACATTAAGAAGTGAACGTTGACTTTTGGTTTAACACAGGACATGAACAGTGGTCTCCTGGATTAAAGTCCTGTGTTTGTTTGACCCATCAGTCCACCCCATCTTCGCCGGACTGTTTTGCTCTTTATACTGTGTTACTTGACTTTGACGGCACATCAAACCATGAAGCTACACCGAAGCCTCCAGATATGTCGTGCAGTATCAATCAGGCTATACAAAAAAGCTCCGTAGAACTGCAGAGCTTATGGTGATTCTCTGCGGTTTCATCATTTAAGAACGACACCTTTTAGGTTTTTGTCACCTTAAAATAAGCATTTTTTAATCAACAGACGCTGCATGTCGCCATCCATGTTGAACCACCATGTTTCTATAGTAGCCCAAAAGGGACAAACCAAACACTGGCTCTAGATTGGGGAGTTTGTTTATTTTCGTGCATTTCAGAGCCACCGTAGTTTCTCCGAGCTTAGAAGGTGAGGTTGAAGAGACAGAGTTGCGATCTGCACCACTAGATGCCACGAAATCCTACACACTGGTCCTTTAATACAAAATATGTGTAAATAGACAATATGTTTAAAGCTACAATATGCACTTTAATTACTAGGACTTGAAACCTTCAGGAATATAGACAAGTGGAGATTATAGTTTTGAAATCAATAACGCAATCCTTGTAAACACTTGTTCCAGATAAACACATGTATCCAAGTGGCACATACACACTTGTAGTTGCTTAGTGAGTGGAATGTCTCTACCTATTGTTGTGGGATCACTAAGCAGCGGGCCTGATAAGCTTCCAGTTAGGTCCAGGCGGTGTAATGATATACTCGCTCCTCACCTGACTGATCTCATTAAGACTGCATGCTCAGACCTGCCTGCGCTCACTGGACCAACGGAGAAGAGCACGGTCTGTCCACTTGGTCCGAGCTGTGGACTCCTCATGTCGAGAACAGTTGTGTGTGTATTAATGTTATTCATTTTCATCATCATCATCACCATCAGTCACTACTATTAGTGTAGTCGTTGCTACTGTTGTTGCTGTGCATCTGTCTCAATGGCCTGGTTGTGGTCACTCAGTCTGTACCTCGTGCCTTTTTCAGTTTCTGGTCACTCACAGTGCCCTGATAATCTGCCACTTGGCACAGTACGGTTACTGTGAAGTTTTTAGTAGATGTCCAGTTGTTGATGTACTTTTTCGTTTCTTTGGCTATAATTTGGTCTCTTTTTCTTTGTCGTCCTCCCCCTCTCTCTCTCTCTCTCTCTCTCTCTCTCTCTCCTGTTATGAATTTGCACTATAGAAATAAAATTGAATTGAATTAATAATAATAATAATATCTGGATACTCAAAGACACTTTACATAAAGACAACATAGTAAAAGCAGCAAAACAGCATAAAATAGTAAAACACTAAAAACATTGGACTAAGCTAAACCTTAAAAGCAATTTTAAAAAGGTGAGTTTTTGTCATTGATTTGAACGCTGGAAGGTCGGTGCAGTCACGGATTTGTTTGGGGACAGAGTTCCAGAGGGAGGGGGCAGCTACAGAGAAGGCTTTGTCGCCCCAGGTTCAGTGCTTGGTCCTGAGTGGTGGAGTCAGGAGGTTTGCACTACTTTTAACCCAGTAGTAATAATTTCAGGGTCATTCGAATAGTGCTTTTCTATATAAACTATTGGGTGACTCATTACACTTTATATCACCACATGCTTGCATCTGTACATGGATATTTTGCTCATATACAGTTTAAACATTCACCTTTTATTGCTGCTATATGACAGGGTTTTTCTACCCTCACTGACTGATAATTGGGACTATTTGGATTAGCACTGCAAAACACAACTATATTCTGTTCCTTAAATAATAATTATTTAGTCTTTAGGGTCCATTGTTGCAGGTAATATTTTTTTCCCGCTGCATATCTCTAATCCTGATGCAATTGAGTACTGGCAGTCATTCTACAGCTCCAGCTCACTTGTCCATGATCACTCTCTTTTGAAACTGCTGCTGACTTTACCATTCACTCCTGTATTCATGCATTTACCTGGCATATTTGGCACTGGATAATTCCCCGGTAACAGGCTTTCGGAAAGTGATCTTAAAGTTTACATGCTCCTCTGAGAAACCAGCGACAGATGCGAGGCGGTTTCTCTCCTCAACGTGAGCCTCCAGTGTGCCCTGTGTGTCTGCTGCTGCGTAAAACATTAGTGAGATGACTGGTGCATGAGGGGCAGAGCTATGCTGTTTGGCATTTGAAATTGAATGTTTTGTGGAAAAGGTGCTGGCTCAGCTGCATCTTGTGCTGATGAATATGAATCAAGACTAGGTGGAAAGCTAGTATATGGCTGGTGTGGATATGGTCAGTGTATCTATAATGTGAATTCCTGGATATCAAATGTTCATCTGCAATTTTCTGTATTGGTCCCAGCAATATTTGGTGTGTACTGTGTACTGAAGAAGCATGCCACATGACATTGATAAGCTACAGTCTAAAAATGGTAGAAATACAGTTGCAAGAACTCGGTGGAAGGCGACCTGCAGCGTCTGGAACTACCCCTGCTCTTTCATTTGTTTCTATCTGCGTGATGTGCAAAGAGGTGGAGCGTGGATGGAGCTGAGGCGAATCCTGAGTACTGAAAACAGCCACCTGTGACGGCAAATATGTTTATTTCTGCTGTAAAGTTGGGCATTTTAATTTTAATATTTTAAATCTCTTCATGGAGATTGACTCGCTTCTGGAGCCAGCCTCAAGTGGCCGTTAGAGGAACTGCAGTTTTGGCACCCCTGCGCTGGCTTCTTCTGGCAACCACAAAGATTGCCGCTTGATCTTTGCACTGCCCACTTCCTTTTTGCTGCCCATGTTTGGGCTGTTCAGACATGTGCCACAGCCGGCTCGTGATCGGCAGTGATAATTTCAACATCTGTTCTCTTTTTTCCACTTAACACGAGCAACGCATGAAAACACGCTGATAATATTGATAATACTGAAATATACATCCCATCTGCTCATCGTCTATACTTATTAGAAACAGTTTCACTGCGTTGTGATTTTTAAACGATGTATTTATTCCACATTATGTCTCTAAACAGAGAGCAAGAGTAACATCGCTGCCTTAGAATGACTGTTTGAATATAATAAAGCAGGCTGCAGTGTGCTTTGTTCTCTTGGTTGTATCACTTCCCTTTTACTGGACTTTAAATCTGACACACTACCCACTCAACATGGCAAAAAGAGGAACTACATTTGAATTTCAAGGTGAGTGATGTCAGTGAACTGCTCACACCAAGCTTGTGTTCACCAACCCAACCAGACTGTGGCGTATCAGAAGATACAGACGGCCAACTTAAGTCAACATATCTAACACTGTGCAGTTTCCTCTGTATAGAGCATTTATTCACTGTTGCTCTTTATGTTTATGTTATGATAGAGGATCAGACCCACTGAGAGCATCATATTTCTAAAAGGTACAAACATTCTGTAATGCAGACATTCTGAGAATCACAATTTCTCAGTAATGACAGGATCGCCACATATCTTCCTGAATTGTTATTCTCAGGGTTTGGGATGGTGGGTGAACCTCTCAAACTATCCCCCATTGTGATGGTGTGCCTGGTTTCCATGGTGATGGCCTAGAGAGGGTGGTGGTAGACTCAAGAGGAAATGTCAATCAAAGGCTCCAGCAGGACAAAGAGCCCAGGACTACCTGAACTATCTGTGTTGAACTGAAACACTGTCTAACGGCTGGGATGAATGCCACACACTGCACAGCTACAGTAATGGTTGCAGTGTCTGTCCCTGAAGATTTCTGTTAATCAACAGAAGTTATTATTTATTAATATTTTTCAGGTCAAATACTGGGTCTAAAAATACTGGAAGCAGCATTAAAACATGTCTAAAGGTCCAGTGTGTAACATTTAGGAGGATCTACTGGCAGAAATGGAATACAATATTCATAGCTAATGTTTTCATTCGTCTATAATCACCTGAATATAATATTTGTTATGTTTTTGTTACCTCAGAATGAGACGTTTTTATCAGCAGTACAGCTGTATGCATTCAGTCAGCTGAAGTACATGAGTGTGGAACAGGTAACAGCCACAGTGCATCCATTGTGCCCTGACCAATCATTAACACAGAGCTGATGCTGCTCAATAGCCAGTCAGAGGACATAACTCATGTTTGACATATTAAATACAATGTATGTCAAACACAGGGGACAGTGGAGGAAACCATAGCAACAAGCAGGTGACACTAAACACAAGTGACCTGCTCAGTGCGAGGAGCCCCGGTAGTCCACAGAGCTCAGGAAGGTGTCGGTCGTACACACGTTGATAGGCTGGGTAGTTTACGGCAAGCTACAGGGAGTGGGATTCAAACAGCAGCGACATTTGTGGCTTGGTGATTTCACCAATATGACAAATGTGCAACACGTGATACACATCTTTCAAAAACCAACCAATTGTATGTGTCCTTGCTTACAGACAGACGTACATAACGTTACCCAGTGGAATCCAACTTTGACTATTAACGTTACTTTGGGATATTCTTGTTAATTCGGGAAATCAATATGATCCACCCAGCTGCGCTTCCGTTAAATGAAATCTCTTATTTAAAGTATTTGGCACTTTTTCCACCGCCCACTTACTGTCCGTTTGGTCGGCGGAAGTCACACCAAGACTCCCTTATCGTAAATCTATCAATGCATTGTGATGAACAAACTCCTCCACCAGCCGCCACAACCCTGTCTCAGTGGCAGAGGACACGAATCACACACACTTACCACATCGGGCGGCGCAGTGGAGCTGGGAGCAGCCCGTTGTTGTAGCGCTCCTCGGTAGCTTTGTTGCTGCAGCCTGCTTCCTCTAACCGTGGTGCCTTCACGGACTCCTCCCTAAATCCGGCACTGCATCTGTGCTGTCCGAAATAATACCTGGTTCTACAACAGAAAGGACAGTTATTTATAGCGCGTATGTAACATGTGTGTGTGTGTGGGATATGATTACATTTTAAGGATACAAAAGTAATCATGTAAACAGACGTGCAGTGCTGTAGCCATGGAATCAACATTAGGGGGCGGGGGGGGTCTGCCCTCACCAGAAAAAATATGAAAATGTGAAAACTCATTTCCTGCCATTGAACTATCAATAGTTTGGGACTTTTTTAATCATTTGAACGATTTCTTGATGAACAACTGTGTGCAGAACGGCAGTTCGCTAGCTAATGCATGGAATGTATGTTAGCTAGCTAACGTTGAATCATACATTAGATAAACAACTCACAAGGCCAAAATAACACTTTACAACTATAACAATGGGCCGTAATATATCTGTTACATTCTAATTTTCCACTTTTAAAAAACATTTGAACAATTTCTTGATGAACAATAATATGAGACTGCTGTTCCATGCTAGCTAGCTAGCTAACATTCTGAAGTAAGTATAATTCACAACCATTCAGTGGACAGAGACAGTTAGCCGACCTAACACTCATTACACTCCAATGGGACACTTTAATACATTTGAAGGTAATGAAACCGAGAGACGGTACAGTGTTTGACACTGAATGTTCTTCTTGTTCCTAAGAAATGTACAGCGACCAGCACACACAACTGCAGTACACCGTAATACTACAACTACAATAATGGCAGTTTGTTAAGTTTAGTAATGAATATGATTACATTTGCTGATGATTATTTCGGATGGCTGTCGTACAACAGTAACTTATATTTTTTGTATCTATATTGTATACGACCTTGCAAACGGCTAACAAAACAAACGTGCACCCATCACGTTCATTTTATTACTTAGTGGGGTGAAAATGTTATAATTCCAATATTGCTGACAGCAAGTGAAGGCAACATAAAGTTCAATTTGGGGCTGATGTGGCTCTTTGCCCCCCTCTAGGGGCAAAATAAGAAGTGCATATATATTTATACAGAATCACTGATGACTGATCAGACATTATGTTATATACAAATACTAGCACTTCCAATATTACCACTGCTACTACAGTGATTGGTACTACTGATAATGATTATATAGAATAGAAATAGAATACAGAGAGATATAGAATAGAATAATAGTATTTAGTGAAAAAACTCAACAAGTGTAATCTATCAATGTTTCTTTTTCTTGTGAAGCACACAAAGGAATCCACAATGACTGAAGACACCTTGTAGTGGATTTAGAAAACTGTATTCAGAATGAAGCAGCAGAAGTGTGATCACATGGTCAAATGTTAAGGTCTAAGAAAATGTAATTATTTGTAAGACCTAAGTTATTTATAATATTTTTTTTAATGTGACACCCTTTTAAAATGACTAACTTACTGTTGCAATTTAATTTGGTAACCCTATATAGCTTTTAGTAGGTTCAGATATCTGTCTGAGAAACTCATATAGTTGTAATTCATACTCGAATAAAACCCTCAACACACAGGACTTGTACATAGAACCATCTTTACTTTTATTGATCATAGCATTCACACTCATGGACAGGACACAGTGAGCTTTAGGGACCAGCACTCTCACCTACAACAACACACCATCAATGTGCAACAGAAGCCTTGGGGCTTTTTGACTACATTTGTTTTTTTTTTTTGACCCCTTGAACAAACATCATTCAACTTTTGTCCAAAATGTATGCATGTATGTTCTTTGTTCCCTGTAATACTGTCTCAGTCTATCTTCGTCTTATTCTCACCTTCTGAGTAGAAGCTCAGACTTTTGAGCGTACAGCAAAAACAATCAATGTTTTAAAAAGTGCCACTCTGTGGGTAGCGGACTAGAAGTCGACGCAGCGGCCCTTCCTCTCCCAGTCTCCATAGCGGGTGGGCTCTGGACCTCGGGGACCCCCCTTCTCCTTGGTTACAGGGTTCACATCATCAGGAAACTCTGGAGGAAAAGAGGAACGGTTCGGTTTGAAAGATGCAGCACTTTCCCATCTTCTCTTTCTGTTGGAGCTTTGACAAACATTTCCTAACTCAAGGTCCACTTCCTAGCTTTTCCTGAGCTTTCAACCACAGTTCATGGTCTTGCGTTCCTTAGCTCAGTAGCTCCCAACCTGTCTCCTTCAGGGAGCCTTGTTCTATCAGTGAGTAAACTGACCAAGTCACATATTTTATGGAGATTTCATATTATATTCAATAATAACAATAACAGTAAAGAACAGCTGTAAACTGTACAATGAACCCAGACAGTGAACACAATAACAGCAGGATGGTTGTGTAAAACCAGAGATCTGGATGATTGAGTACTAGTTGAGTGATTTATGGAGTTTCCAGATGGACTAGTTGCTAAAAGAAGCTAACTGTTGCCAACAGTAATATTAGATGCTGTTAGCGGCTTACATTGTGCAGCTACCCTTAGTTGAATTAGCCCTGGGGGGTGCCAGGAGCCAAACCCAGCAAAACAACCCCTCAGTACTGTCCCTGTGATCAAACTGTCCTCCGTCAGCATCAGATGCTGCATTCAGTCGTGGTCTGGTGGTGCTGTTCACTGGGAGCACCCAGTCCAACAGAGTCAGCTGATAGGACCACTACAGCTGCTGGACTGGGGGATGTAAACCACATTCAGCACTATCGGCTACCACCAAGTCCCTCGCTAGCTGCCCGTTTTTCCCGGAAATGCGTGAATATGAGAAAGCAAACCGCACTCTTTCTTTTTGATGTGGACTTGGATGATTGGCATTAGGGCACAGTGGATGTGGTGTGGCTGTTACCTGTTACACACACCAGCACGCTGCAGACACAGGGTGACAGCAATCATAGGTGAACTGTATCTGTATACTATGTATCAGTTCCAAATGTCTGCTATTTGTTCCTTCATTAGTAATAATTGGCATCTGTATTGCAAACATATATCAGTCCATCCTTAGCTAAAAAGAAGAACAAAGATATGTATCAAATAAACAACTATTGACACATTTAGTTTCTCACTGTCAATACAGTTTTAACAAATTGTAATTAACACAAGGAATGACATTTTTCTTTATCCTTTTTAATTATGATAATTGTCATTATAATGTGCATCACACAATTCTAATTATTATTATTATTATTATTATTATTATTAGTGTGTAATTATCGTCTGAGAACTGTTCCAGCCTGAATATGCAGATAATATTTCAGCCATCATCATCCTCACTTTCCAGAACATCTTTGCTCTTCTCCTCGGGGAGGTCAAAGCGTCCCTGCGGGGTTTTGGCTTTCTTCAGCGGCTCCTTGTCCGACACCGCCCCGCTGGCCGCCCGCGAACACCCTGAAAGACACAACAGCAAAGCACAAGGACAGGAGGACAATGTAAGACACAGTCATTCTGATTCAACTAGCTAACGTTATGACTGTCATTTACATGAAAGAAAAGACAAATTGAGCTGACACAAAGCACACAGTCTGTGAATGGCTCCTGAGAACCCCACACTGTGGGGCCCACAGTGAGACAGGCTGGCTGCAGCAGTGAGCGGGTCCTCAGCACACACCGACCTGTGGAGACTGACTCCCCCGCTGCACTCTTCCAAAGTAAACGCCTGCTGACCGAAGCGCTGAACCGCAGGAGAGACATGTCTGCTGACCAGAGAACCAACGCAGTAACTTCTACCGCGCTCGGACACTTACACAATTATGTTGATGTTTGTCGCGCTTCAATTACGCAGTTTTCATCATCATCCAGCGACGGAAAATGGCGACGAGGCTATGCAATGTTTATATGGCGCCAGTAGGGGGAGGCAAAGCGCTGGATATGAGATTTGAGGTGGCGTACAATGAGCTACGGAAGGGGGTTTGTGTGGAGACTGTGGGCCTCCCCTTGGACAAAGCTTGGGAGAAGGCGAGCCCTCATCCCCTCACGCCTCACCCCCTCTCCCACCTTAGTTGACGAGCCTGATTACCTGATACCTGGACGTCTCTGCAGGGGGTGGCCAGGCGGGTTTATATTCCCTTCTGACTCTGGAAGAGCAAACTCCATCCACTGATGAAAGACAAAAGATGCAGTTGAAAGCTCTAGAAAGAGCTAGTAAGTGGACCTTGAGATAAGTTTTTTTCAGTCTACTGTTTCCTAGTCTACTTTCACGCTCAACTAGAGCCAAAGCATTGATCTGGATTCCCAGGTGACTGTATGTGGATATACTGTACACTAAGTGGCCATGTGGCCGTATGTGTTGATTCTTACAGGGATTGGCTCCCATGCAGATACCAGAGCATTAGTGAGGTCCAGCACCGATGCTGGCTGATGAGTTGTGGCTCCAGTTCATCCTGAAGGTGTTGGGGTCAGGACTCTGTGCAGGCCAGTCAAGTTTTTCCACAGCAAACTGGGAGAAGCATTTCTTTATGGAGCTGGCATTGTGCACAGGGGGAATGTCATGATGAAACATTGTATGCTGGAGCATTAAGATTTCTCCACTGGAACTAAGGAGCCCAATAACAGATCCAGACCAAAAGCACTCAAATATATGTGGATAGCTTTGTTTTGTGTGTGTAAAATACCGAGAAGAAGAAAGAAAAAGACTGCAACTGCTGTGCAGAGTGGTATATTTTTCTAAACTTTATCTTTATCAGCTCTGCTGACCACTTCCCTCCCCAGGGTAAAAGCGTGAGTGTGTGTTTGTATGTGTGAAAGGAATTCCAGGAGGTTTCCAGCAGCTTGGTGCAGATATTTTTGAGTGGATGATGAAATTCTCCTTTACATTCCTCTTCAACCTTTTGAGAAAGCCGTCCTGGAGAATGTCACATCACACACTCACACACACACACACACACACACACACACACACACACACACACACACACACACACTGCCAGAAAGCTGGCTCAGCATGCGCTGCCAACACAGAAAAACTCTCGGACAAAAAATACATTTATCTTTTTTTCCAGCAGAAAATGTTTATAGATGTACACATTATGTTTGTGAGAAGTGAGTTGAGTGTGTAAGAAAGACATGAGAGTATGTTGTATTCCTCATTTTATAAAAGAATCTGAAAAAATCCAATAAGAAAAGAAAAATGGAGAAAAGGTGGAGAAAAAAACAGAACACATTCTAAATTCAGATTAGAAGTTGAAAAACTTGAATTAGATTTCCCTAGAACCTCCACACTTTGTGCACAAGCCCCCTCCTCATATCTGGGATGATATTGTAAGAGCTGACTGCTCTGCAGAATGACCTGTTTCTTGTCATCTTTCCCACATGGCAAATGTCGATGCAAGTTCTCTTCAAAATGCTATTTTTTCAGCCACCTGCATTCTGGAGAACACTTTATGATGAATGGGACGGCTGCTTGAAACAAAAATGTGGTTTACGTGATAAATTGAGTGGCCTGTAAGGGGGAAACACAACATATAAGAATGTCAGAATATTATTTGTACAAATGAGCCCAAAAACCAAGTGTCACAACCAACCCAAACCTTTCCACACTCAGATACATTAGAACTCGTCAGAGTCATCCCCAGAAGGTTTCAGTTTGGAATTTGATTGCAAACCCTTCCTATTATGATTCATTTTATTATCACCATGTATTCCCAAAATCAGATGAAATAATACAAATTTTTATCATAGGGATCGACTACAAGAAACGATCAGGATCAGGCAAAAAAGCAGAATCCAACTAAAAGTGGTTATAATCCATAGTGTGTTACATATAATGTAACAATGTATCAAACAACAGTGTGACAGTGCTCACAGTGAGCTGAATCTGCAGCTTCCCTCAGCTTTACAGAGTTGTATAGTGTCAGCTCATTGTTTAGCTGTGTGGCCAACCCAAAGTAACCCACCAAATTAGCTAGGTTCTTGACTCAGTTCCGTTCAAGTTTCTTGAAACCTTGGTGCTATCTAGGGAACCAACCCGTGTTTTCACCAGTTTTGATAACAATGTCTGTTCTGTTTCATGCACCTAGTTTTGAACCATTTGGAGCATTTTGACCAAAAATAAATTGGTTCATGCACCTGGAAAATTGGTTCTCCACTGGAACCAAAAAGTAGTTATCTTGGGAACCAAAGTGGCTGTGTCTACTGGTCGTTTTGCATTGCGCAACGCCCTCTGTTGATACTCCATCCAATTACAATGGTTCTGCTCAAAACTAGTGGAAATGTGGACTGGTTTGCTTGATAGCACCATGGTTCCAAAAATCTTGAACACAACCGGTTCAAGAACCAGAACTAATTTGGTGGAAAAGGTTGAAATGGTCCCTTTTCCACCAACAGGGAACTGGCTCCATTCTGGTTCGCAAACCTAGTTTTAAACTGTTACTAAAAATAAATTGGTTCAGAACCTAAAAAGTTACCAACTGGAACCAAAAAAATTTACGGTTTTCCTTCCGTGTGACATATTCTACAGGCAGCTGTGTATTGCCCTCTGTTGATGACGAATCCTTGATTACACTGGTTCCGCTCAAGACTGGTGGAAACGTGGACTGGTTCACTAGATAGCACCAAGGTTCCAAGACTCTTGAATGGGACCGCTTCAAGATCCAGAGCTAATTTGGTGGAAAAAGGGCCACAGAGTCTTTTTCAGCTGCAGCAGGCAGCTCTTAAAACCCACTGTTTGATCAGCAACAGACAGACACAGCTAGAGCTGGTGTACAAAGTGAAACATTTAGCAGCTAAAGAGCCTGATATTTCCCTCCCGAGTGAATATTGGACTTACATTCATTAGGGGGACACAAACATGACTCCAAATGAATTATCATTTTGCTCAGTAACTACTGGATGTGGAAGTAAGCAACTGTTTGCCAACAAGTTAACCATATCAATTTAAAAGGTGTCGATGCTGCGTTAACTGCTTCTGCTAAAAAAAAGGTGGCCAAAAAATCAGTTATTGGAGGTTTACGTAAATAATATTTTCATATTTCCAAATAAAGTTGATATAAGATTAAGCTAATATCTGATCTTTTATGCTCATATGTGACTCAGATCAGATTATTTCCTGACAGTGTGAATGTCACAAACCATGTGGAATCTGGTTATACTTTCATATGCGGTCCAAAACAGATTCAGATCTGAATCTTTGCAGTGTGGATCTAGCTTTACATCATCATGCAGGTAACTTCAGGACCATGACCTGTTCACACTGGAATCTGATATGAGACACATTTAAAAAATAATTTGAACAACCAAACCAAAATAACCAAAATAAATCAGAATTGAGTGCTAAAGCTTTGAGTGTGGACCTTGTCTTAACCAGGGGTCTTGTGACTGGACACGTGTTGCTTATTGTCATTATTTAAGGATATGTCAAACACGTCATGGTTGCAGCAATGTTTTGCGCCTGATGAAGATCCACAGCTGATTGAACACATTGCACAGCATCAGTGAATCATAAATAATGCTGGGAACACGAAACACCGGACTGATTCAATGTTTTGCCTTCAAGTTTACTCTGAGTGACAAAATACATTTGGGCATGAAAATAAACACGAGTTAAAAATGTTTCTCCACCGAGCAATGTAAAAGTTACATATGGCTGAAAAATGTAGAAGATATTCATACTAAATAAATGGATTTGCATGATCAACTCTGCAGAGACAAGAATTAATTTTAGTGTCCAAAATATTATTGTCACCTGTGTGAAAATACAGGACTAAAGCCTTTCTATACTCATATGCATGGAGAGACACAAGGTGCACACACACACACACACACACACACACACACACACACACACACACACACACACACACACACACACTCCAGTACTCTCATTTATCATGGCAGCCTGAGTGTCAGTCACTTATTGGAAACTCTGTTATTGACCAGGCAACATGTGGACTGTGTCAATAGCAGCAGATCTCCCCCCAACACACACACACACACACACACACACACACACACACACACACACACACACAATGCAGTGGCAAGGAATGACAAGGAAGAAAAGATAATAAATGCCCATGGTCAAATGACTGGTCTTAGTTTGTTATTGGTCAGCTTGCAACACTAGCTTTTGTCATATTTGCTGAAACCTTTCACTATATCCATACAGAAGTACAAAATCAGGTTCCTCTGGCTCCTCCTAGTGCTCCTAATGGCTTTTGCAAGAATCTACTGGGTTCAGTCAGAGCAGAGAAAGATAATTAGGGCCCGAGCACTGACCGTGCAAAGGCCCTATTGTATCTGTAAGGGTTATTATTTTAGTGCCAAAAATCGCATTTTTGAAGGCTGCAACAACGCACCAAAACTCATGAAACACAGCGCACACGTCTGTCGTACAAAAAATCCAGTGGGAACCATATCCCAAACCCAACAGGAAGTCGGCCATTTTGGATTTAGCAGTCATTTCTGGCGATTTGCACACGTTGTATTTGAACAAACTCCTCCTAGGGAATTTATCGGATCACCTTCACATTTGGACACATAAAAATGCCCGAAATTGTATGAAAATTTGCACAAAATTCAGTCGTGACGAAGGCTAACGTATTGCCTTGGTCCCGTAGATAGGTGTTGCAAAATGGCTTAGCCACGCCCCTCAGAATCAACCCCCAAATACGTACGACCGACATGTATCAAAATTGGAACACGTGTATCATGATGGTACAAGGAAACCCAACAGGAAGTCAGCCATTTTGAATTTTTGGCGTTTTATTTGAACAAACTCCTCCTAGGGAATTTATCGGATCTACTTCAAAACTGGTCAATACAATCAAAACAAACTGACGATGAAAAGTTGTGCTATTTGTGACTGCGTCCAATCTCCACTAAACTTAACATGTTCTGTAACAGTCTCACCCTGAACACGTCCTCATAACTTCAGTTTACATGGTCCAATCTCAATGAAACTACACATTGTCACGTCTTCATGACAATATTCAGATATAATGATAGTGCCACCTACTGGCAACAGGAAGTGCACTGTGTGGTGATTTTGATCTGGTTTACATGAAATGTTCACGTTGTGGTCTGCACATGTTACCTGGCCGGAGCCGCAGCACACTCCGTTGCGCGCCAAGTACGACTGCCCGTTCATCACTGCTTGCAGTTTTATTTGATTGTTGAGTCTCATTCACAGGTTGTCAAATATAGATGCTTTGTGGCCCTGGGAATGAGACTCAACAAACAATTACCCTCAGGCCACCAACCCAAAGCCTCTTAATATCTTTCTCGGCTCTGATTGGTTGTTTTCGTTCAAGCCCTGTGGATTCTTATAATACCATTTGGAGCACTAGGAGGAGCCAGAGGAAGCTGACTTTTTCACAAATTATCTGTCTCATGTACTACTGTCAGGATATAGTGAAAGTTTCAGTTTTTTTTTTTAAAGTTACCTACTGCAGCTTTATGTGTGGAAAACATAGTTTGTAAAGTGTTACAAAAATAAGAGTCCAAAGAATTGTGGTCAAAGTGGTTATCGTTAAATGTAGGTGGCATTAAATAGTATTATTCTTTTATCTTGTCTGACTTTAGATTCATTTATTTCTAAATCATGAAGTGGTAAAATAAACAGATATCCTTGATTTGTTGCTGTAAATCATCACGCAGAGTCAGATTACGTTTGAATTCATACAAAGGTGCTAAAACAAGTGCCCTGTTTGTTACTGTGCAGTTGAGTAAAAAGTCCATTAACAAAGCAGATAAACACAGATAGACACTGATGGCATAGATGTACACACATATTTTTTTTTGTCAGACATCAATATGAAAATATGCTGTTTATGAAACATCAAGTCCCTTATAGGTAAACTATAATACAACCACTCACTGGTGCCAGTCTCTGGTCCTCTGGTGGGCTTTCTGCAGGGTTAGGGAGCACACAGTTCATCAAGATGCCCCTGGAATATTTCCAAAATTCCAGTCTGGTGTCTGCAGGGCTAGAGCATTCAGTCCCGACCTATGAAGGATCCAGATGTGGACCCCCATTATATGGGAGTAGTGCTGAGGGACCCCATCTGAAGCAGGGTCTGACAGAAGGCAGGTGATAATAGGAGGAGATGACCTTATAACCAAGATCTTTCAAACAGTGTCCCGCATCAGGCCTCCTCTATACGGAGCTCCTCAGCGGGCCACAGCTCAGCTCTGCCCTCTAGCAGTCAGTCGGTACCGGTGCAGGTACCCAGCCGGAGGCCGTGTGTTCAGCTCTACTCGCAGGCCGACACACTGCTGATCTTTCCTGTGTTTTCGGTCCAGGGCTGCAGGTTCTGCAGGGCGAACAGGGAGCTGTTCTGCAGGCACAGCGGGTCCGGGGTCACCGGCTGGTTGATGGTCTTCTGGAAAGCCTCCTGCTGCAGCTGCATGAGGATCCGGTTGGCCTGCTGTCGCTCCGCCTCCCGCTCCTCCGCCGTCTGCCGCCTGCAACACCATCAAGGAAACACTGCTCACACATGTAGGCTATAGTATGTGGGATATATACTGCATATTCACGGTTTGCTTGGTAAGTAGAGACAAAAGTTTGGTGTATTCCTGAAGTGCCCTCATACATTTGATGCTGTCACTCTCAAACCAGCCACCCCTATAGTTGCAGTGAATCTACCCATTCTGATCTTTATGGTAAATGCAGTGAAATGGCCCAGCAAGTCTTTCCAAAGATAATTGTTGCAGCATGACTGTCTGTGGAAAGCCGTTTAGGCCATTATTTGTCTCCTTTTCTCTGCCTTTGATGTTTTACTGTTAATCAGGGGTGAAAGAAACTAATTACATTTAGGCTACTCTTGTTACTGTAACACAGTTTTTTGTGTACCTGTACTTTTGAATATTTTTTTAAATGCTTCATTTTTACTTATTATTTTTATTACAAGTGGCCTATAGTGCTACATTTCAAATTACATCCAATACAGAGTAAAAACAAATGTCACATGAATTAACTGTGAGAATGAAACAAAAGAAAGGTGATACATGCAGGAAGACAGAGCTCCAGAGAGCTCCATGTCCAGAGCAGAGACACTGCATTCAGCTTGACACAAGACATGTGTTCACCGTTCAACCACTGCTGGTTGAGTGTCAGTAGGGTACGGTGTATGGGGTATGGTGTATGGGGTACGGGATACGGGGTACGGTCACACCTGGGTTGGAGCTAGCAGTTAATGAACATTACAAAAATACACATCAGTGCAATAATATTGACATACCTCGGCACAGTTAAAGAGGTTGCATCTATCTTAATTAACCACTGATTTTAATGCACTTTCCATGAACATGCTAAGTGACCCAAATCGAACAAAACTGTGTTGTGTGACCAACATTTGCATGCTGGGTCTGGCTAAATGCTAAAATGCTCAAGGTGGATCCTCTAGCAGGAAAAATAAAAGGTATGGTACATACAAAATGCATACATGGAAATAAGATTGGATTGGATTATATTCCCAGAAAGAATAAAACATTTGTCCCTTACAGATTAAAATTTCCATCTATTAGATATTCACTAAGGAATAAATGGCAGGCATTCTAGCACAACCTCCGCCAGCACACGCGTGGAGACGCATACAACATTCACAAACGCCCTCTGCTGATTGTAGTGTGCAGGCGCATAGGGTGGTGTTTACAAACGCAGACTGATTTTTGCAACAGTGTTTAAAACAGTATATTAACTGACCTATAAAATATCACACAACAAGGAAAAGGACACGATTAATGACCTTGTCGGCTTTCCATACTCCAACTACAAATAGACTCAAAATCAAGCATTTTTACTGTAACAATTTACAGAATTTCCAAAATAAAACATTTCATATTCAGCCAAAGTGTTTGGCTAGTATGTTCGACTACATTTCTTATGCCAGTCTTAATTATCTATTGTCGTCCATCTACAAGATTCTAGTCATGTGAGACATTTATTTATAGGGATCAGAATAAACCCCTACCTTTCCCACACACTGGCTGGCCCCTAGCATAAAAAATGTAGATTATACTTACCAAGCCCAACCAAACTGGAACATTATAATTCTTTGGCTGAATGTGAAATACACATTTTTTGTGGACAGATGTGCTTTGCCACAATTAAACTAATATTGCATCAAAAACGTGACAATGAGGCTTGCATAGTGTGGCTTTATTGAGTCTATATGTATGTCTTTGTTTGTTTGCTTTGTTGTTTTAAGTTTTTGTTTTGTTTTCTTGAACTTGAATTTAACAGTCACTGTCAGAAACTATGGAGCAATGTGTTTGTGTAACACCTCAAGTTTTTAGAAATCTAGTCATTTCAAGGTTCAAATAAGACTTTTATTTTGGAAATTCTCTAAATTGATACAGTAAAAATGATTTATCCATGACCTTTTCTGAAATAATTTAATTAATTAATAATAATAATCTTTATTTTTATAGCACCTGTTCCAAAGTGCTCTACAAAATAAAAACAAAAACCAAACAGGGCAAATAAAATGAAAATAAGCAACATGAGCACAGAGGTAATGAATTAGATGTCAGGATATTTCTTTTCTAGGAACCCTCACAGTTTAGTGGAGGTTTTCATTTATAAGGGACTTAGCACCCATCAATTGCACTGTAACTCTCTGTGGCCATTTCACTGCATTTTACCGTAAAGGTCAGAATACGGGTGGACTCCAACTTCAGGGCTTTGACCACGGAGATGCGACGGACGGCTACCGCAGCGGGTCAAACTGCCGGACGACATCAAGTCATGAGGACTGGTTCAGAGACAGTGTAAGATACAGATCATAACAGATACTAACACACGACCGCGCCACTACATTGCAATCGACATGATTTTTCTCCGGACCAGTAAATAGCTGTTTTTATGTAATTTCATTGCACAGGATACAATGACCTGGGCAGCGTTTGTCATTGTACAATCTGTGAATTATTACAAAATCGAAAGCTTTATTATTGTCAACGAAAAATAACGGCTAAAAACAGCCAAACAAGCAGTTCTAAACTCATTATTCTGACATTGGCAGTATTATAAACAGTCCAATAATTGAGCACTTCCAGAGAATAGGGGACAAAAATACTGAATCTGACACAAAATCAGCCTCTCTCTCTCTCTCTCTCTCCAGTTTCTCAGCTCAGTTTCAAAAACGTGAAAAGATAATTCTGTTTGTCAGTAACATTTTCTGCCCATCTTTCCTGTCCCGTAAAAAATATATTTTGCACATTTCCAGGTATTATTAAAAAAGATAAAATAATGCAAATAGCAAGTGTAAAATAATAATGAAATAATTCTGAAATATCGCAGAATTAACATTTTATACTGAAAGACGGCTCGACATTGTATTAATGGAATATGCTGAATAGATTTATAATATTTGAAATGAATTCGTAAGACACATCCAAATAGGTCTATAATGTGGATACATGTATTTATTTATTTACTGTATGAAAATACTGATTTTATTTCTTTTATGAAAAATGGCAGTTTTACCTTTTACTCATTATCTTTTAAGCATATTTAATAAATTGTTTGTCAAAAATGACAGTGTAGTAAATAAATGAGCATTTTCTTCCTTATTTAAAACCAGCCACAATGTTTTATTTCTGCCTCACAGAAACTAAAATGAGCTATTTGATGATTTATTACTCCAACTGATGCTGTATTTACTCTATGGTCTCCTGGTGCATAAACAGGCAGTCTCAACAGTCACCAAATGTGTCCACACAGTCCATTTTAAGAGCATTTTCAGAATTTTATACACTCAGTGTTCAGTTTATTAGAAACAACTTTAGCTAAAATGAATGCATTCTAATCAACACCTGTTACCGTCTGCACTGTTGTAATAAATGAGTGCAGTAAAAGTGCATTGAACTGTCAGATAAGTGCACACAGGAAGATAGCAATGAGAGGGAGATTAAAAAACAGTCATTACTTAAAAGGATAAATTCCTGATATTGTGCTTATGACAGTGACATAACAGTCAGTTAAAACCATTTTCCTCTTGGAGCCCTTTCAAAACAAGGGGAGGACCCCTGGCAGCCCTTGGGAACCAAATGGGCCTACAGCCGTCCATAAAGAATGCAGGGCCTCTTTGGGGGTTAGTGGCTCCAAAAATACCACCAAAAAAAAAATCTCCATCTGCTCTGTAGAGATAAGAAGGCATTGGTAAAAGAAAAAACAAACGGACCAGGTCTTTTCAAATGAAACATGATTTCACCTCCATTTGGTGCGTCTGTTTTGGAACCAGGTTTTGACCTGAGCGTCGGTCATCTTCAGGGCTTTGGCGAGGGCGGCCCGCTCAGCCGACGCCAGGTACTTCTGCCGGTGGAACCGTTTCTCCAGCTCACAGATCTGCAGCCGTGTGAAGGACGTCCGAGGCTTTTTCTTCTTGGGAGGCGTCCGGTTCTGGTAGGGATGACCTACACGACGTGTTACAGTGAGGGGTGAGAGGGACACTGGACAGGATAGGACAGGACAGCAGGACAGGACAGGACAGGAAAGGAAAGGACAGCACAAGTCAGGACAGGATGGATAGGACAGGACAAGGCAGAGCAGGCTATGCAGCAGACAGTGAGAATGAGCTAGAGAGTACTGACAGAGCAGCAGCAGCATGGTACGCTCTCAACCTCCAAAAATAAAAGTCCATATTTAATCTCAAAGGATAAAAATATAACAGAGTTCTATTAAATACAGCATACTGTCTCTAACCGTATTGTCCTGTAAACAACAATATAGGAACGGAAGAAATGTACTGCATACTGCATTGTACTATATTTATTTATTCCTTTTATACCTTTTATTCCTTTTATTTTATACCATTCATTAAACACCTTCGGAGACCTGTGTGTATTTATTTACTTCTGCCATAACCAAAGAACCTCTGCCCAACTTCTGTTTATGTTTGTATTTATATTCAACCCATGACACATTCAAAGACCGTCGGACAATGTGTTTCCTGCATATGTGAAATGCTGGACTCATTTATCACAATAACTTATTACCCGACAGTACTGTGACAACAAGTCGGTCAGGTCTCCATGCTTCCATCTGACATTGTATCGGTGCAGAGTACGAGCTCAATGTGAATGGCTTCGGCTGTTTACATGGCATTTTGCTGTAAGAGCTCAAAGGGAGCTGAAGTGAAGGCAAGCAGGCAGAGTACAGAGACAGACAGTAAGACTGCAGCAGGGACACAGCTCACTTTCTCCAGCACATCACTGACACACACAAAAAATACCAAAATAACATGTCATTGTAAAATGTCCTACAATGCATGTAAAGAATACTAAATAGATAACTCTTATTATTTTAAATGACTTCAGACACACACATATAACTTCAATAACATTAACAGGCATGTTAATTATCATTAATATCACTTATTTCATTGTTTTGTATTTGCTTTTGCATTATGAGTCTCTGTGTTGCACATTTGACCGGACATAGTTTCTTTTTATTATTGTTCTGCATGCTTATAAATAGGGCTGCATGGTGGTAAAAAAGCACATTGCAATTATTTTGACAGTTATTGTAATCTAATTCAAGATTAGTGGGAATAATCACTTTTTCATCACAATTCTAATTTTCACTGAAAAAAAAAACTATTATTAAAACTATTAAAATCATGAAACACGTTTTTCTTAAATCTGGAGAATAAGATTTGTAGTCCAGAACTCTCTCTCTCTCTCTTTTCAGAACTACAGTACTTCATTATAATGCTGTTTGATTCACAATCGACCTTTATCAAACAAACTGCAGCTTCTGTGATTTTGCATATTGCACTGGGCCATATTCCTTATAAGTTAGCCAACCGTAAAAGGTTGATTCTTGTTTGTATTAAAAAATGTTGGCAATAAAAAAAAAAGCTTATAGGAAACAACCTTTTTATTAGTAGTTTAATGTGTACGTTTTTAAGTTTTTAAGTGTTCAAAAAACAACAACCCGAAAAAACAAAACATAAAAAGAGTTTAAAACAGTTTTGCGCCATGACTCGGCTACTTGAAATAAGTCCCCATTTCATTTGGAGATTTTAAGCATCATCAGCCCGGTTAATAATGAGAAAGCTTAATATAAATTCACACATAGATACCACCTATCTATAGGCTATATACCTTAAATAAGGTTCCTTTGCTTCGTCTAAGACTGAATGAAGACTGAATAAGAACGATAACCACTGATCCACTTGACTCTGGTACACATGATGAGTATGGAGGTTTTATTTATATAACAGTTTATTTAAAAAATATATTTTAACTTTTAAATAGTCGTATAGAGTAATGGAATCTATTTCATTGTATTTCATTTATATTTTATATTTGAATACAGTGCCTACCTGTGAACCTGTCTTTGGTGTAGCGGCGGTTGCTCTCCATCCAGGGGAAGGTCAGCGCGTTCAGGTTGTTGATGGTCCCGCTCCCCGGCGGCACGGAGGAGTTCCCGCAGCTCAGAGGCCGGTGCGCGGGGACACGGATGACCCCGGCAGCGTTCACGTTAGTCCCGTTTGCATTCACGCCCATGTTCATGTGATAACCCCCTCCGAGGGAGGCCATCCCGCACGAGCTGGCGGTGCCGTTATATCCGCCGTTACCGCACGCGAAGCCGCCGCCGTTCAGGCCGCTGCTCCCGCCGCCGTTGTACGCCGCGTGTCCGTAGTCCGGCTCGTGCATCCTCACGCCCAGCATGCAGCTCTGCTCCACGTTGCTGAGGATCTGGTCGATGCCGAAGCTGATGGGCTCCACGTGCGCGTGCTGCTGCAGGTGCGCCCCCAGTATCCCTATGTGATCCATGGCCTCCGCGAGCCCCGAGCCCCGAGCTCCGGCGCGAGGAACACAGGTTGCTCCACGCGCCGCTTCCCCGGACTCTTACGTCTGGGTTTCTTCTGCTCGAGCTCCGGTCGTTATCTAGCGCGGGCGCACATGTGTGAGTCTGTCTGTGCGCGCGTGGAGGAGAGAAAGGATGGACAGTCTCCCCCTCCCCTCCCTCCTCCTCCCCCCTCTCCCTCCGCAGCGCGAGGACATCAATCAAACTGCCAAATAGACAGCGCGAGATTAAGACCCAATTTTAGGCCCGCGAACTCGATTGGCTAAAGACTGTGAGCGCTCTGCGGAGGCTTTATGGCGCACTTCATAAAACACTGATTAACAGCTGGACAAGATCAATAACACACTTTATCTGCGTCACACTCTCCGCGCGGGAGAACACACACACACACACACACACACGATAATGTTCACGAGACTGCAGTTTGTTCTAAAGCTTTAGTTTAGCGCCCGGGACAAAGCCGATGTCACTGCCGATCCAGCCTGTCCGTCCAGTCCACTGATGTCCAGCTCTCTATTGACAGCTCTGTGTTTACAATATTATTCTCGCAGCCCACGCTGAAAACATTAAATGTTGGTTAAACTTAAAGAAATTGAAGAAATCATTCACAAGAAATATTTGACACAGACTCAATGTAAATCATTTATTCAGTTTATCAGCAAACTAATTTCAAGTTTTCCTAAAAAATATGTTGTCTTTATTGACTTAGTGCTTTTTGTACCATTGAGAGTACTGTACATTTTTGTGAAAGCGTTATTATTATTATTATTATTATTATTAACCAGATAAGTCGCATTGAGATTATAAAATCTAACTTTCAAGGGTGCCCTGCACTGTAAAATATATTATTGTACCTTTACGGTATTTTACAGGCTAATAATTGCAGTGAATTCACAGTAGCGTACAGTAATTATTTTACAGTAATAAAAATGAAAATCCCAGTAATGCATTGTGTTTCTACAGTAACCATAATATCATAAGTCATAATATTACTGTAAAAATACAGTATTTTGATGTGAAATTACAATACATTGTAAAATTTGACACATTCATTTAAAAAATAACGTGTTTAAAAATGGAAATGAATTTAATGATCTGTTTTAGACTCATGGTTAGGCTCTAAGTTCAATGAAAAAAGACATATATTTTGAAAAATATGAAGATTTGGAAATATAATTTGGAAATAAAACAATGTATTGATTTCTAATGCTGGATATTTCTAGTAGAGCTTTTATTAGGCCCAATTATTAGGCCTAGTTTATAGCATTAAAAATAAAATATTAAATATATTTGAAGAAAAAATAGAATTCTGTCCGAGCCAGACCTACAACCCCTTAAAGTCTCCATGCCACCCTCGGGACACCCCACGAAGATTTCTCTAGATCCGCCCCTGCAGTATTTAAACGTTTTTTTTTGGGGGGGCTCCCAATCCTTTACTATTCACTGTCTGCTGATCTAACAATCATTTTCCCCACAGCTGCAGAGCATACTTTCCTGTAATATTTTGATCAGTACACAGAGCATTGAGTCTTGCTCACTACTTGTGGGAAAAAGTGTCAGTGTGGATCTGGTCGGACAGGAAGGATTGGAAGGAAAATGTAGAGGAACAACAGGACTTTTTACTTCGCAATAACACGGAAGAAATGCCAAATGGGAGCGAGTTGTGATGGGGCCCGTTGGCTCTCAGTCTGTAGCTCACTGCAGAGCTTATAAAAAGCAGCAGTTTGGTAATTAAATGTCACACAGACAGAGATAACAGTATTGACATTATCCAGCTGGAGCGAATGTAGTCTATTAATTCAATAAAAAGCTCTACAGTTGATCCTTTCAAATCAAAAGCACAATTTACACAACTTCCTGTGTTATGGTCCTGCTGCAGAAAATTGGGAACCCTAATAAATTGGCCTAATGGGTCCAAACGATACAGTATAAATCACAGAAAAATTATTGATGTTTAATGCAGGCTACTCATTTATTGTTATGGAGCGGGCGCCATTATTAATTCATGCTCAGAGTGATGACATTGCCGCAAACACTGATGCGTTTTCATTTGTTACTGTGGGAACAGAGCCGCGCTGCATTATGCTGCTGCAGGACTATTTTATTTTTTTGTTCCACGGCATCTTCCAGGAGTAAAATCAGCCGAAACCAGCAGTTAATGTGCAATTTTAATAATACAAATAAACTATAAGTCATTATTTAGCATCGGGGCTACATTCATTAAAAATATGAATGAATCCGGGAATGATCAGTATCTGTGCAGCGGGTTTAAATGATCATAACAAATGGATGTAGCCTAACTGTGTTTAATCGTAGATCATAAATAACGAGTCCTTCCCTGCATTCTGCTCCAAGACACAAACAACTCCACAACAATTAAATGAAAAATTAAACCGTGTGGCTCATTGATTTCCTCTCTTTCTAAAAGCCACTGGGACTTAATTACTGCGCGCGGGGCATTAAGGTATTAATATTTGATATGCTTTGAACGCCTCTTATTGGTCAACTGACCGACATCAAATTTTAATGCACTGGTAGCCTATCCCACACTGATGCGCACCTATTCCTTTAAATGTGGACCAGTAATGAATATTATGGGCTGGAAAAAGCGGCTAAATTACTGAGATGAAATGAAAGAGTGGACTACAAACACTGGGCTGTGTTCAAAGACTGACAGCTGCTGTTTAGAATAGCTTTCATATAAGGAACACTAAAAAGTAACTCGGGGGACCTATTACCACTACTTCATTAAATGCATGATTGCAATAAATAAATAAAATTCTATTTATTGATTACGATCTTTTAAGTTGCAAACATTATTTTTATGTGTTTTGAGTTGTGTTGACATAACAATGTTGGTAATTGTGTCACCTTAATATTGTGTGTTCGTTAATAGATTCAAGGCAAAAGTCAAGTTGTAAAAACTTAATGAAATTAGCCCAGATCCATTTCACATGCCTGAATAAATTCAGACAGTGAAGACTCAGTGTTAGAGGACCTGTAGGCTGAGCAAATACTCTACAAAGGACAATTTCAAGGTGAAGATTTGGGCATATTCTCAATTGTGATACAATCAGTAGTGGACTGACTGGAACCTATGCTAAGTAAAAGTAAAATAGAATTCAGTTTATTTTGTTGAAACAAACTAATCTAAATTATAATCTAATATTAGATGTGAGCCTATAATGAAAGTTGCATTAATAATATGTATAGTCAGGGGCAGTGGCAGGCCTAATATGACAGACAGTTACACTGACAATGGCATCTTTTCAAACTCAATTATCGAGCGACTGTTTTCATTTTAGCGGCTCGGATTTCCTTATGGGGTTTGAAAAGAAAAGAAAAGAAAAAAAAGATGTCCTCACTTCAAATGGAGACACTTATTGATTTTTCGCCCCTTTAAGCAGCAGCATAAGCTCCACAGGCCGAATAAGTGGCTGAGGCTGCCACGGTCCATCAGAGACTCAGCCTAAACTCTGGTGCCAAAAATGACTGGAGTCCCTTTCAGACACGCAGCCCTTTACATTAGTCTGATAGCAATTTAACATATACATCTCATGTCTGAATTTAACACCATGGTCACTTCTGTAATGATAATAATTTTATCATGAGACCGTTTGCTTTATCTGATATTTTGCTTCTTTTTTAACCTTTATCCAGGGAGATCATCCAGGGATCACTGAGAAGCTGCCCAATACAATCCCAGTCTCACCTGCTGCCACTGAGCACCTCCACTGGAGAAGTTGGGGTTAAAGGCCTTGCCCAAGGGCAGCTCAGTGTTGGTGCATTCTGCCAGTCACTTTCCCCACCCAGATTTATCCTGCTTGTCCAGGGATTGAACGAACAACCTCCCAGTCACAAGGTTGCTTCTCTAACCTTCAGGCATATAGGTATTGTACGTTAGGCACTATTCATATTCAATAATGTATATTTCTACAAAAGCTCCAGTGTGTAACATTTAGGAGGATCTATTGTCAGAATGCTTCAAGAACTTTTTAAGATCCAAATGTTATTTGTTTAGCACACTTTAATTTCACTGTACTTTTTGGTCTTGCCTTATACTTGACTCTGTTAATGCAACCGTACTCTGGCAGTTAACAGACATTGAATGGTGATAGGATCATATTTGTAATTGTGTGTATGGACGTATTGATATTCTGAACCCTCGGGTGGGTAGGCGGGGGGGTCAACTTGCAGAGTCCTTGACCCTTGACCTCAACCTCTCTGGCGCCGGGTCCGTCAGCGTCTCCTCTCAATGCAAGATGAGCTTTCCCTAACCGCTTGCCAGATTAGGGTCTGGGGACTTAAGGGAGTAATTTAATGTCACTCATTAGACATTAATAAAAAGAAAATGAGTATGAGAAGGGCTTTTCTCATCACAAACCGGATTGTACATCTGCTCACTGTAGTTTCTTATTTTCGTGCAGTGATTCGTAGTAATGGCCAGCTTTTACTGCCCTGCACAGTCTTGCACTATAAACACACAGCTTAACAAGAGGAACATAAGGCTTTTATTCACACATTGTACTTATTTGGTTTGAATCATTGTAGATTTGTTTTCAACCAGTGTGTGATGTCAACAGATCTCAGTAATGAAGTTGAATAGCATAACTGTTATCATAGCTCACTGGGCTGAATGATAAAACTATAAAAAATAGGGCATGAAAAACAAGAAACTTTCTGGAAACAAACTTGTGCAAAAGGGTTTAACAAAGGATTTTTTATTATTGTGCCTCAAATCAAATTCAGAATATCTGGAATTTCACAGTATACAACTATAGAGCCTATTTTCACAACATGCTGCTCTGTTTACATTCCCATCAGACCAGTTGACCTATCAATATACAGATTCCAGTCCGTGTGGTCCCTCACCCTAAGCTTCTCCAGGTGACTATTTAAGGGATGGGAATATCCTCAGTGATGGCGGACCTAAATTGATTTCCAGATCATAGTGCTGGAGTAACAAGGAATGGAGGAAGCATAATTTTCTAACGGAAAGCACACAGTGGCACCCCACCCCGCCCTCTGTCGCCGATCCAGCCTTTGTCCAGTGATGGCACCATGTCCCTGCCCCCAGTGAGGGACCAGGACCTGCCCTTGTGGTACTGAGTCCACCAT